CCTCGGACATCTGTGCCGTTACCCCTCGGATCGTTTGGAACGCCAACTTGCATTCGGCCAGTTAGCTCCTGAAGGCGCGGTGCCCCGCGCTTGTAAGCAGGGCGCGACGCGGCGGAGCCAGAGCCGAGAGCTCCTTCGCCAGGTAATGCGGGAGGGCGGCCACACGGCCGACGACAAGCATGCTTGGAAGGCGGTGGCGGCTGATCGGGGGGCATGGAAACGTGCGGTGGGTGCCTGGACAGAGTGGCGCCGCAAAGTTGGCTCCTTGGATTTTCATCACATGCGTCACGCCGAAGAGGAGGAGAAACTACGCGCGCGGCGGGAGCTTCGTGCCAACGACGTGGGTAGACACATCCCTCGCAACACTCGGCCAGACACCGCGGCGGCGGTCGCTCATGAGGATGTAGCCCCTCGCCCTGCCTGTCGCCCGGCCACAGCGCAATCTCTCAAATTTGTGCCGTGCCCGCAATGCGGCACGCCGGTGCAGCGTCGCAACTTGAAACAACACCAGCGGCTTAGCTGCAATGCCGTAGAGGAGAGTTCTCGTACCCTGACGGCGCGCCGGTAAAAGCGCAGGCAGAAGGGGCGGCCAGCGCCTGCCGGCCACGTCGCGGCAGCGACGGGACACCACGACAAAATTTTGGATCTTGTTCCCCTCCACTCCTCCCTCTCTCTCCTTCCCCTCCTGCTGTTGCTTCTGCGGCCTCTTCTTCCGCTTCCCCTGCCCTCCCCCCTCGTCTTTCTCCCCCTCCTCCTCCCCCTCCCTCCCCCGTGTCCCAACCCCCCCCCCCCCCCCGTGCATGCTACCAGAGAGCGGATTCTTTCGTCCCAGGTGCAGCGCTATGGCCACGATGTTGTGTTGCATTGGAACATGTGTTGTGAACATTGTAGCCTCCGATACCCCAGCATATTTCATATCCTCTCCGTGTGCACCCGGGAACATGCCGCAAACGATGTGTTGCCAACAGCATGCCGGTCGGTCAGTACAAATACATGCTTTCGCCTGCAGAAGTTTCGGCACAGCACGCTCGTTGGACATCTCTCCCCGCCGACAGCCATGGCGAACCTGATTCTCGAGAACGCAGGGGGAGCGGCCGGGGCGGTTCAGCCAGTGGCGGCGGCCAAGGCCACCGCGCGCCCCAGAGGCGTCCAGCGAGCCATGGCGCAGTGGTTGGTGGCCCACGACAAGTCGATCGCCGAGCTGGCGGATCGGTCCACGATCGCGATAGTGCTCAAAGACCCAGCAGTCAAAACCCGGGTGGTGCCCCAGCGGAAGGTGTGGAGGGATGCCAAGCCAGGCGACGGGGGACCACATCCCTCCGGGTCGTCTCTGCGCGTGGTCCTCTTCGCGCGCATGGTGGTCACGATGAAGGAGACCTACAAGAAGATGGACGACGGCGCGAACCCGCACGAGCAGCGGGTGCAGGCAGCTCTCAAGTACCTCAACGGCATGGACGGCCCAGCCATCGAGCGGTGCGTGTTCCTCCTGAAGCCCAAGCACCCGGATCCGCACTCGGACCCGCAGCGCGCGTGGACGTGGTACCTCGTGGTGGCCACGGCTGCGCCCCAGGATTTCCGTGATGCCCTCGTCGTCGTGGCAGCGTATGAGACCAAGTACGACAACCTCACCGTGGCCCTGGCCAAGACTGAGGACGGCCCGCTCGTGAAATACTTGGTTGACTGGCTCGCGGGGAAGGTCGGGGATGACGACGACCAGGGGCCCAAGCGCAAGAGTGCTCGGACGGCCGGGGGCCGGGGCGGCGGTGGTCGCCGCTAGCCCGTGCATGGGCCGCGGACCCAGACCCCCGACGTCATGAATTTTTCATGACGTCGACCCCCAGCGGTCTGGACCCATTCCCCAGGACCGGTTTTTCGTCCTGAGTCGTTTTTTGACGCTCCCGAGGGCCGGTAAGGGCCCCCAGAGGCCGAAAATCATGAAAAACCTCCCGTCGTGATTTTTTCATGACTCGAGGGGGTCTGGGGAGCAGGCTTCTTGGTGGGCCCTCGTGCCAGCGCCGCTGCCCACTCCCTGGGGGCCCTCTCGGGCCTGGGGCGGCGGTGCCCGGCCCCACCGAGGGGGCGACGGGAGCCTCGGCTCCACCGCCTCGCGGGTGCTGCATAACAGGCAGCAGGGACGCCTCGACAGCCTCATACAGTAGGTTCGTACGGCGTCGGCGCGAGCTAAAGTTTTTGACACCGCGTCGATCGTTCAACATTGCACCGATCGCGGCCCCGATGATTGAAGGTTGAACTCAATCGGGTCCAAGGTCGTTACCATGTCCGTCGGTGCGTCCGCGTCGCAGAATTTAACCTTGAAGGTCTTCGCTCGCGTCGCCGGCGCGCCAACGCCGCATGAACCTACCATAATTCAGGTGCATTTCTTCTACGACATCTCGTTCACGGTTGAGACGATATACTCCGGCTGAAGTTCGCGATCTGGCCGGTCTTCGCGACGACTTCTGCAGGCGCTGGCCTTTATGTATTCGTATACGGTCGGCTACATTTTCTTCTCCTTGCTCTCGCTCTCGGATGAGATGAAATACTCCAGCCGAGTTCGTATCTGGCCGGTTTTTGCGACGAATTCTGCAGGCGAAGGCCCTCATGTATTCGTATACGGTCACGTACATGTTCTTCTACTAGCTCTCGCTCTTGGTTGAGATGAAATACTCTAGCCGAGTTCTTATCTGGCCGGTTTTTGCGACGAATTCTGCAGGCGAGGGTCTTTATGTATTCGTACACGGTCACGTACATTTCTTCTACTCCCTCTCGTTTCCGGTTGAGACGAAATCCTCCGGCCGGTTATCGGGATCTTTGCTGCCGGACCAGAGTGTGATGGTGACAAGTTGGCCCACGACAGCTCCCTCTACCGTAGAGACGCTGCTGAGCGTGGCCGCAAAGACCTTCCACAAATTATAAGAATTTCGCGGATTGAGGGCGGTTGGTTTTCAAAAGTGTGGCTCTCGCATGATCGCCGCGCACATTCTTCTTAAACAATTGCAAGAATTTCACGGGTCCCCATGGTCAACGTAAAAGAACATATTTTGGAAGGGCTCAGGATTGAGAGGGTGCAGCGGTTACGTTGTCTCGCGGTGTTGACGTCCCAAGAATGGTTTTCTGGCTCGATTCAGGATCGTCGAGGCGCAACAGCCAGGTTGATCCGTGGCGTTGGAGTCCCAGGACTGCCACGCTTCAGGGTCTTCAAACTGTTGCCCCCAGCGAGGCAATTCCCTCAGTGGAATTGAACAGTTGGAGCCTGTGAAGAGGAAGCCTGGAAGGATGATGTATTCCAATATTCCTCCTCCACCCTCCTCCGCGGGAGGATTCTGTATGTCCTGGAGATGTGCACAATGTGGAGGTTGCCACAGAGAGGCCTCTGGTCCACCCAGCACCCTCTGCGGGACAGCCCGGCGAAAACTCGCCCCCGTCTGGGGCGCAGTCGACGCGGCGAGTGGCGCAAGCATCTCTCGCGTTACGTTGCTCCCATCGCACTTACGGATCACATCCCAGAAATAATTTCGAGCACGCAGAAAAGTGTCGAAACAGTGTCGAACGAGCATCGCCTCCCAGGGCACGACACGTGAATTCAAATGTCGATATGTTCCTGGTGCTCGACATGACTTCGGGTGATCACTGCTAGAGTAGGTTGGAACATCACGAATCTCGCGCATGAGGCGAAAGCCAAAGCCGCGAGCGCGCGCGCCGCCCGTGCAACCTTGGTCCAAGGTGCTACCATTGAGAACGCCATGCGAGGAACAGATCCGGGGAACGACCCGAACACCAGAGCCCCCTCTGAGTCCAACATGGTCCTTGTCTCGACGCCCTGACTGTATCGCTCAGGGGCAGGACGGCGCGCAGACCTTGGAGAGCGGACGCCGCGCTCAGGCACAGCGGCGGAGGTGGAGGTGAACCGTGGAGGACGATCGGGGATCGAGCCTGGAGGGCCAGCTGGAGGAGGGGGTGGACGAGGTGGAGGGCCCACGATCGAGGGGGGCGCCGGCCTCTCCACGGATGGCATCGGCGAAGCGTGGCTCCCGTCGGGGCGCCCGAGCCAGCCTCGCAGACGGAGCCCGGCGAGGCCTGTCCTCGGCCGCGCAACGGAGCGCGCGCACAAGCTGGGAAGCAACTCCTTGGAAGTCTCGGTGGGAACGACGGGGTACTAAACTGGAGTGGTCGGTGTTGAACAGAAAGGATTCAGCCTGATGAGGGCCCATTGAGCGGGTTTCCACTGGAGCAGCGGCAGTAGGTCGGATTGTGCAGCGTCTCCAACTTTGGATGCACCAGCGTCGAAACCGAATTTTTAACTTCCCAGGAGCTGCAACCCAGCAGGAGCAAGGAGAGAGTGGAGGATCGAAGATCGATGCCTGCATCTGTCTGCTCGAACCTTCCTACTTCTGAGGTGATCGCTGCCAAGACTTTTTGTTGTCGCCTGCCTGGCAGGCCTTCTGCCCCTGTCGCGACCTGAATGGCAAGCGTGACCCAGGGCAATGCCAATGGGAGTCACCACTAAGGAGGTCGCCACCTCTTCGAGGAAAAACGGGCCCCTCGGATCACCTAGGACCTAGGACTCCCCTAGGCGCCCAAAAACGTCCCAGACCTGATCGATCCTCGAGCCTGGATTCCTCCTCGATCCTCGATTTCAGGGAGGAGCTGTGGGCTGACCCCCCATCAGTGGTGACCCCCCTTTGCACTGACCGAGCGACCTGGACGCCGCAACCGGCGGCCCTCCCGGGCGGACCGCGGGGGAGCACCCCCTGGGCCAGGGCCGATTCTGACTCTGCGCGCAGGTCTGCGAGTGAGTCGAGCTCCTTAGCTCCTCCCCCCTCCGCCTTCCCGCCCACCTCCTCCTTCTCCTGCTCCTCCTCCTCCTCGCCCTCCTCCTCCTCATCCTCCTCCTCCTCAGCCTCCTCCTCCTCCTCCTACTCCTCCTCCTCCTCCTCCTCCTCCTCCTCGTCCCTATCCTCATTCTTATCCTCCTCGACTCCACTCCTTCGCCCCTCTTTCACCCCCCTTCATTCCTGACCGATGTCGCAGACTAGCCCTGTGCCGGCTCAGGCGGCGCTCGGCTTCTTGAAGCACGGCTTCCTGCCGCGAGCATTCGGCTTCAAGCGGCGGAGGTCCTTATTGAATCCACGGTACTTGATCACAGCCTTGGTTACAGGCCTCCCAGGACCGGTGAGAGTAAATTGGGTCGGAGGATCTCGCCGCATCGCGGATGCATCGGCGATGCAGTGCTGATGCATTGGCATTGCACCAGCGACGTCGGCGATGCATCGGCGCCGTCGGCGTGGAGAAGATCGGGCTCCACATCGAGCCGCATCGCCGATGCATCGGCGATGCGGCACGATCCTGTGACCCCATCTACTCCGACCCCATCTGGTGGGCCTAGAGCCTTGGTCCCCTCGTCCACTGCGTGCTTAGCGAGCTCCCTGGGCAAGAGGAGCCTCACAGCACCCTCAATGTGCTGCGCCGTCATGGCCTCGCCATTCGCCGTGCGGTGGAGATGCGCCGCTGCTTCCGCGATGCGCTCGAAGGAGTCCTCCACGCACAACTCCAAGATACCCATGGCCTTCTTGGATATGCGCAAGTTAGGGGTGGCGTGCACCTGCTTCAGGACTTCCGCGATGAAGCTCGCGTACGATGCGTACGGCTCCCCCCCGCGCTCCACCAAGAGACCACTCGGCCCACCTGAACGACTCCGAAATTCGAGGCATCCGGCGGCTCGAACAACACTAGGCGGCAATTTCGGGGGGCGGGTCCGGAGCCTGGGGACGACCAGCAAGGTACGGAGGATGAGACGTAAACTTTTGGGAGGGGGTCGAGAGGTCTGGGGGGGCACGATTCGAAAAACTCCAGAGTGCCCAATGCCTGGGAGCCCGGGGTTCGCAGGCGTTGACTTCGCGTGGCGAGGTCTGACTGTACTTTCCTTCCGCCGCCTCCCGCGCAGTTTCCATCGGCATCCGCTGGCAGAGGCGCCCTCGTTTTGCGTCCGCTGGCATTCTCTGGCCTTCTACACAGGGCGAGACATTCGAATTCTCGCTCGATTGATTGAATATGAGGCCCTGCTCAACATCCGCCCAGAACCAAAGGCCCCTCCTGGGATCCACACGGACTCGTTTCGAAAGCTGCGTCCAGCCGCGGCGACGAGGGCCGCCCCATCCGAAGGTCATAGCACTGCCTACCTGGGGGCCCCCAAACACCCCTTTGTGGACATGCCCCACCTGGCGGTGTCTCCGTGCACGTCTCCTCGCGCATCGCCCGCTTCGTCGGGCGCGATGGCCTCTCAGGTGCCATCTGGTTCTCTCGCGAGGCGGCGCAAAGCACCGCGCCGCCCACCGGCAAAGAGCCTCCCTGTCTGGATAGCGTCGCGTGACCCGACCTGGCTCGAGCTGAAGTGGCTTGCGCCCGAAGTGGCAATGGATTCAATGATCATCAGGTCGCCCTCGACCACAAAGGCCAGGACATCAGGCCGCAGCGTGTCGATGCTGGAAGGAGCGCGTCGCTATCGATGATGTCTCGTGCGAGCCGCATGCGGGTTAGACCATCTCGCCGCCCCAATTGCGCCCGCAATCGAATCCGTCATCAATACAGCTGAAAGAACTCCAGGGGCACAGTTGCCATCGATGTTCGGCGGGTTTTCAATGACAGCGGGGAAGATGACACGTGCGCGGGAAACCTGCTGAAACCTGATGGCAGGACAAGGCCTGCCAAAACCTGCCACGAGCCTCGAGCGTCGAAACTCCCCCTTGCTCCCACCAACCCTTGCCTCCGGCATGTTCCGCACCTCGATTCCGATTGACGGAAGATACGCGCAACTCCTGAACTGTGACCACCCTAGCAGCGGGAACGTCGTTTCGACTGGCCGACAGCACTCCGATGTGAAAGCGCACGTGACATGGCTGCCCTGGCGAAGGGCCTAGCCGTAGGCAGATGTGTGTACAGCAGGGCGCAACCTTCTCCTCATCAACTGAGCGCCGCCGGGTGGACGGAAACCCTGGCAATGCGGACAGAGGGCTGTGGAACAAATTCTCCGACACATGCTGAGCGCCTTATGTGGAACGATCCGGTGCGCCAGAATCGGTTGGGAACCCCATGCGCACACTGTCCCTGGGGCGGTATGCGGAGCTACTTGTGCGGCTGCAGATGGGACTCCGCATGGGGCACAACGCGTGTGGTGGGTGTGTGCCAAGCATGGGCGGGGGGAGGAGTGGCCACCCTGTTTTGAAATGCACGGGGGTCTCCCCATGGGGCACGACCCCTGCTTGGCGTGCCTGAACTGGGCCGAGGGGGGCGGAGGCAGAAAGAGAGAGACAGGGAGAGCGCAGGAGAAGGATGACGGGGCGGACGAGAGGAGGAGGAGGAGGAGGAGGAGGAGGAGGAGGAGGAGGAGGAGAAGGAGGAGGAGGAGGAGGGTATACAAGAGAGGAGCGGAGGAGGAGCAGGACAGAGCGCAGGAGCGCCGCAGGAGGTGGAGAGGACGGAGGAGGACAAAGCGAGAAAGAGAGGAGCAGAGGGCCGAAGGATGAGGAGGGCGGAAGGATAGTGTAGAACGAGGGGGGCGCGCGGCGCTGCTTCGGGGCGGGGCCTCGCCTCGCACACCGCCAAGGGGGAGGGGAAGGGTAGCAATCAGAAAGCTTCCCGGGGAGCAAGGGTAGTACAGTCAAGAACCCTAATAAGGACGCGCGACTTTGCTCAGGGTACCCTTGCGTCCTTGCTCTTCCTTGCTCTTGCGTCCTTGAGGTTTTCGTCTTCTGCCGCCCAAAAAATCCTAACTTCGGCTTCCAAGGGTCTTGCTTCCTTACCGCGCGTCCTTGTTAGGGTTTTTGACTGTACGACCGAGGAGCTCACGAGAGACCCTTGGGAGGCAGTCCAAGAGGCCATCATGTGCATCCCCGCGGCTCCTGACCCTCATGCCAGGCACGGTGGCACGACTCTTGAAGAAGTCACTGTCATGGGGGTCGGCGGAATGACCTGAGCCTCTCGAACAGCAATCACAAGGCTCCCTTGAGGGCACGTAGGGGTAATACAACGGGGGAGCCACCTTGGGAAATTGAGGAGGGAGTGATGCGGGGACGTACAGCGAGCGAGAGACCAAGAGAGAGAGAGAGAGAGAGATCGAGAGAGAGCGCAAGAGAGAAACAAGAGAAAGAGAGAGCGATAGACAACTAAAAGGGGAGGGTGTGGAATATGTTTGGGGGAGGAACATGGTGCGGCAATACGGGGAGGATCTACAATGCGGCGGGAAAACCTTTCGAGATGGTGGGCTGTCATGTGGGGACGGAGGCGGAAGAGATGGGGGCAGGGGCGGGGGAGAGAAGAGGGAAGGGGATTAGGAGGAAGACGGGGGACGAGAGAGAGAGAGAGAGAGGTGAGGGGGGAAAGGACGAGGAAGGGAGAGGAGAGGGTGGATACGTAGCTTTGAGGAGAGAGTAAGTAAGGGGACGTGGCCTATTTCGGCGATTGCAGCAAAGTGCCCTCTGGCCCAGATCAAGGCCGACAGACACCGACCCATGGGTGGCTGGATCCATCGACCACTGATGCATCTTGGCCTCTCCCTCCTCCTCCTCCTCCTCCTCCTCCTCCTCCTGCCTCTTGTTCCTCCTAAACATTCGTTCATGGACTCTCTTCCTCATCGCCCATCCCTTCGTCATCGATCAGCCTTCTGCAGCCCTCCATTACTACTTCGTGTGCTTGCTTCTTGGCCTGCCCTTGCTCCAATTGCTGCTCCTGCTCCTCCGTCTCCTCCCTGTCTGTGCTCTCCTCCTCCTCCTCCAGATAGAGGCGAGAATTGGAACAAGAGGGAGGGATGGGAGGGAGGGGGGAGACGGGAATTGGGAGGGGACGAAGGGGGAAGTCTCGGGGAAGGCGAAGTCCCTGCGAGCAAGGCGGGTTGGGCACGGAAAGCACCATCCGCCTTTCTCCTCTAGCAAGGGAGTGCATCCTAGTCTCCACCAGTCACCACACACTTCGATAACGCATTGGAGGCATAACTCGCACAATGCATGGACTCCCTCATGTATACCATGAGTAGCATGTCTTCACCTCCGCCCCCCCTCCCTCGTCCCTCCTCCATCCCTCATCATGACTTGTCCCTCCTCTTCCCATCCCTTCCCCCCTCTCCCCTCCTCCTCCTCCTCCTCCTCCTCCTCCTCCTCCTCCTCCTCCTCCTCCTTCCCCCCTCCCTCGGAGCCTTCGCGGACACCTCATGGGACACACACACACACACACAACACCCCCGAAGGCGTCACGACCCCCTCTGAACAACCGCCCCAAACACCCCTCCTGGACCACAGATGCCTCCCAGATGGGGTCCGAGCAGATGGGGCGGGAGGATCGCGCCGCATCGCACCTGTGTCGCCGATGCAGCGGCGACGTGGGCGTGGCATCGGCGACGCCAGCGCGGAGACGTGCGGGCTGCGCATCGAGCCGCCCTGGCGATGCATCGGCGATGCGGCGCCGTGCTCCGACCCCGACCTACTCGGGCCCCACTGGGGAGGCCCGGAGAAGGCAGCGGATTGAGCAGGGACCGACCGTCCCGGCATTTCTATAGCCCTACCACGAAATGTTCTTAGAACCCCAAACTGTTCTCAGAACAAAAGCAGTGTTCTTAGAACATAAACCCGATGCGATACAAGACAGACTCCGCCAGAAATGCTCTGAGAACCTTTCGTGGACACCACAGAAAAGGTTCTCAGAACACTGTTTGGTGGGGCTATGGGCGAGCCAGGACGCTTCGCCACTGCTTGAGCGGAGGGCGAGCGGCCGCGGGGGCTCGGGCGCCGCGAGGAGCACGGCCTGCGGGCGGCTCCGGCAGGCGCGGCGGCGCCCCGGGCGCGCGCGCCGCCCGCCCGCCCGACTGCGGCTGCCGCGCAGGGAGAGCACGCGGCGCTGCCGCGGGGCGGCGGGCCCGCCCTCCCCGCGGCTCACGCGGGCGGGGCCACGGACAGCTTCCCGGTCACGCCGTGGCGCTCGATGAGCTCCTGGGAGGTTGAAAATCTGTTTCTCGGGATTCAACCATTCGTTAGAGTTTTCTAATATTCTTCCCCCCAACCTTAATTTCAGGTCGGTGGATATTACTATCAGAAAGCACCGGCGGCGTCAAGGCGTGGGGCCGCGGGGCCCCGAAACATGGGGCCCCTGCAGTCCAGAGGCGGATCTCTTCTGTGGACCACCTCGGGCTCGAGTGCTCAGCATCGCCATCGTTCCGTTCCGCTGCGTCCTGGGACCTCTGAGCCTCTCGCTTCGACTGCATTCCATTCGCTTTCTCGGGGGGGCGCTGTGGGGGGGGGGGGGGGGCGAAGGCCCTCGCGACCCAGCATGTCGCAGGGACTTCGCGTCGTGGGCCGCCGCCTGAGGGCCCAGGGAACCCCAAAGGGGCCCTCGGAGGGCGCTCAACCTTGAAGGCTTGCGCGGGCGCTGCCGCCGCGCAGAGGCGGCACGCGCCTGCCGGATGCTAGGTGTTAGCGCATCGCCTCTCGGCTTCCCTGGCGCATCTTGGCCAGGAAGCGCCCGCCTCTGGAAGCCCGAGGCCCCAAGTGGCAAAGTGCCGCGCGCCAGGTGGAAACGCCCATGCCCTCCTCGTCCTCTTGCTCATCCCCCCTCTTGCTCTTCCTCCACCTTCTCCTGTTTTGAGCAGGGGCCGGTCGTCCCGGCAATCCTTCAGGCCTACCACGACATGAACAGTCGAATCACAAAACAAATTCTTATAACAGAAGCCCGCTGTATGAGAACAAAGCAATGTCAGCCACACCTGTTCCAAGAACATGTCGTGCAGACCCCGCCCCGCGACTCTCTTCCATACCCTCCTCTTCCTGGGGAACCCATGAGGTATCGATACCGCTGCTCCCCAGACCTCTCCCGGGGGTGCGTTGTGATCAGGATGTCGAGGCGAATCCAGCAGTGGTGACGAGGGCCTCCCAGGAGACCGAAAAAGGGGAAAACGAGGGAAGGGTGGCGGTATCTACCTTTTCCTCCTCTGACTCCCCCCTCCCCGCTCCCCGCCTCAACCCAAGCCTGCCCCCGCAGAGCGGCCGCAACGCAGGAACAGACCTGGGAACCCTGCCGGCACGGCAGGCCAGCGGACCGCGAACATCCAGCGAGGACACTCTGGGATGCGCCTGAGATACGAACTCCTACAACTGCAAACGGTTGAAGAAATCCGTCCTCTCTCTCTTTCTCTTTCCCTCCCTCTCCCTCTGCTGGCAAACAAACAGAAGCAGAAGCGGCGCGTCCTCAACCAATCCGGAAGATTTGGCCTCTTCCACAAAGTTCTGAAGAAACTCGTAGCCGTGACTGCCCCCGTCGCCTGGAAGCCGCTGGCATTTTGGCGGAGGAGCCTCGTCCACGGCAGCAAGAGCAACGTGGAGGAACTTCTGCAGTGCAGCACGAGGAGCACAACGCATTCGATGGAAGACCAACGTGCCAATTGACAACTTTCGCATGGCAGCTGTAGGCCGCCCCTTGTGCCAGGGCCTCTACCCGCTGAGGCTTCTCGAAGGAACACGTCCCTCGACTAGACTAGAGGAACAGACGACTGCATAACAATGAACTTTCGGAGCTCTGCGCGGTGTTTCTCGGCTCGGCGCTGGGCCCCCCTCCCCGCGCGGAGCGCACCAGCGGCGGCGCTGGAGGCGCCGCCCGGGGGCCCAGCGGCGATCCACGAAATCTGCGCGGATCTCCGAATATTTATGTCCTTGCCACTTTTCTTCCTCTGTGCGCAAGGACTGGCTTGTGAGTGGGAGTTGTGTCCTCCTGATTGGTGGCCCCGAGAAGCTTTGTTTTATTAGCAAGTCGTATCATGAAATTCAACCACGGGCTCTGTCCTCTAGGGGTCAGCAGGCCTGACTTGCAGGAGGGAGATGGGAGGAGGAGGAGTCGATACTGTCCCGGGCAGGAGGGGGAGGGAAGATGGAGGAGTGAGAGAAAAAAGGGGAGGCGAGAAGGAAAACGAGGCCGGAAGAGGGGAAAGGGAGGGAACAAGTAGGACAGGGGGAGGAGGAGGAGGTTCAGGAGGAGGAGGAGGAGGTTTAGGAGGAGGAAGGAGGAGGAACCAGGATGAGGGCGAGGAAGAACATCCTGGATCGCCTAAATTCTCTGACCGTGCTCCGAGACGCTCTGGCGCACTCCACTTATCGTGCAGAAAATGCCGCTCGGCGGACGCCCCGGCGCGTTTCACTTATGTATCGCGCAGGGCACCAACAAAAACACAGCGTGCGCCGGACGCGCTGGCGCCCCTGCAGCTCGTGCGCCGCTGCCGCCAGAGACTCCTGCACAGCGGGCGGCGTCTGGCATTGTAGCGCGGACGCGCTCCTGCCCCAGGCCTGCGGACAGGGCCTCCGCGGTGTCTGCGCTGGAGCCTTGTGCGCCAGCGGGAGAGGGCCAACGTCTCCTCCTCCCGAACCACTCCTCTAGAAGAAGAAGGAGAAAACAAATCATAAAGAGGGAGCTTCGGAGGCTCGCGCGGACTCATTGGATCCGCCCTGGACCCACCCCCCTCCTTGGCGCGCCGAGCGCGCCAGGGGCGGCAACGGAACGGAAGCGCCGCCTGGGGGGTCCATCGCCGATCCGAGAAATCCGCGCGGAACTCCGAAAGGTTATGTTTTTGCCGCTTATGTGCCCGGCGAACTTGCCATCGCTTGGACTTTCATTCCCCGTGCATTTTTAGTTTTTGCGCGTGTGTTTTCGCAGGACGATCCAAGATGCTCCTCAGCGATACCCGCTGGGAAAAATACACACATCACGATCGATCGAAGCCCTCGACCCCTCCCGACCGGCGGCGCAACACCAAGAGGTGAGAGAAAGAGAGAGAGAGAAGAAGAAGGGAATCACCGGACTAGAGGAGCAACGAAACCGTATAAACAGAATTTCTCTGGGATCCACGAGAACTTTTTGAATCGGCGCTGGAGCCCTCTCTCTGGCGCGCGGAGCGGAACAATGGGCGGCGCCTGAGGCGCCGCCAGAGGGACCAACGCCGATCCAAGAGAATCCTGCGGCCCTCCGAGAAATTACGCGAATGCGTTTTTTGGTTCTTCGACGAATGGCGGATGCGACGCAAATCACCTCAAACTCTTATTCGCAGCTGCTGCTGCTGCTGCTGCTGCAAGCTGTACATGCCAAGGCTGCCGCGGCGACTGTCGTCGCTCCACGAGGCCAAGGCTCAGGAGGCCCCGCCGCCATTCGGCCCGTCCTCCGCGGCGCCCTTGGCGCCTCTCCTACCGTACGAGCGCGGCCGCGTCCTTCGACACAAAAAACAAAGGCCCCGCGATGCATGCACACGCGGGAACCCGCACGATGCGCGGCCACAGAAGAGCCGCGCGCTGGAAAGGACATCCGGCCACGTGTGCATCCAGCTCCCGCCCAGGCCAGCCACGTCGCGTGCACCTGGCCTCCCTGTACATGTACATCAGCTGTCGGAGCTCCGTGCGGAAGTCTCGGGTCAGCGCTGAGGCCCCCCCTGGCGGCGCCTCGGGCGCTTACGTTGGCGCACTCCGCGCGCAAGGGAGGGTGGCCCAACGCCGGCCCGGGAAACCTGCGCGGAACTCCGACACTAGACGTGCATGTGTACTGCTTGCTCTTCCCCGGGTCCTCGCACCTGGAGGCCCCGCCGGCGAGAGCGCCGCCGGCGTCGAAAAAGGTGCGCCAGAAGCTGCAGAGCGCGAGGAGGTACGCGGCGGGCTGCTCGAGGTACGCCTTCGGTGGCAACTCATGGGAGCCTCCCATACCATCTTGTCGGTTCTTGCGAATCGACGCTAGTCGATGCTAAATCGACGCCGACGTTAATCGACGCTGAGTCGACGCTAAGTCCACGCTCATCGACGCCAAATCGGCGCTCAATCCCGATCGACTCCCATACGCTAATATCGACGCGCATCGGCGCTGCAGACGGAGTTGAAAGGGTATGCCAGGCCCCCCTGATTTGCGACCGAGCACGCCTCCCGCCGCGCGGCGCACGCGCCCCCCGCCGAGAAGGACGGGTACCACTCCAGCGCCAGCTCGAAGCCAGGCGGGGAGGCCGCCCGCACCGAGGCCAGGAGCCGATCCCGCTGCTCGACTGGGATGGCCGGCCACACGCAGGGGCGGCCCTGGGCCTATGTCGTTCCCATCTTACTTCGAGCGCGGGATCAGATAGCAGACTTGACACCATGCTTACAATTCATCGGAATCGAATAGCTCTGAACTCGGCTAATTGATTCACAAACGCTTGGTTAAGTCAGCGCAACTGAACGTAACTGTAAGATCACTTTCCTGGCCGAAAACACAAGTGAATCTAACTGAAGCTAACCAAACCCAAGTGGAAGATAACCAAAACTAAGTGAATGTGAACCCTTCGCGTCGGCGGCGTTGCGCCGACGTCTTGAACCGATGCGGCCCTTCATGGGGCCATCTCCGGGAGCCGTCTTGGACATGTCTTGGGTTGCCCCCCCCCCCCTTCCCCCCCCCCTTCTCCTTTCCCTGCCCCCGTTGCAGCCGTCCATGCCCCCCACGTTCCCCTCCTCCTTTCCCTGCCCCCGTTGCAGCCGTCCATGCCCCCCACGTTCCCCTCCTCCTTTCCCCCACGGTCTAGTCTTCGCGGGGGCAAGGTGTCACAAGGTGTGCCCGTAGACGAGCGACAGACGAGCGATAGACGAGCGATATACGAGCGATAGACCAGGGCGGTCTATCGCTCGTCTATCGCTCGTTTATCGCCCTTCTCCCCGCGCTAAATAAACCGTTCGCCGCTTTTTGGGCCCAGGTTTCCGACGAAGGCCGCGGCATGGATCTAACCGAGGAAGTTGGAAGAACGCCTGGCCTGCCAGATTTCTTTCAATTCCCCTCCCTTCCCCCTTTCCCTGCCCCCGCTGCAGCCGCCCCTGCCCCCGTTGCAGCCGTCTTGCCCGTCCACGCCCCCCACCCCCGCGCCCCGCCCCTGATCCCAGGGGCTCGCCGCTACGGCGGGGAACCCGCGCAATACTAATTGAGAGTAACCGCAAAGACATCGAAAGCTAAGTGAAGCTATCTAAGGCTAAGTTTTGACAAGGAACCAGAACCGAAATGATTAACCAAACCTAATTGAAACTTTCGCCGCGCTATGTGGTTAACAACTGGATAGAACCAGGTGCGCCAACAATTATAAATCGGATCGCAAGCCTGGCAATTACATCGATTCAATTGGTATGTGAATTTTACTTATGACTGCTTCCGCCCCAGCTGCTCGGTTTATGAATGCGCTTGCCAGACTTATAACTGCGCTTGCCGGACTTACAATCATGCTTATAAGTATGCTACGTGCGGCCGCGCGCGAAGTAGTTGAGGACCACAACCCCGAAATCCGCCGATCCGGCGTGTGAGTTTCTGAGATGTCGGCTTGAGCTCGCTCAAGCTTCGCTCTGTCGGGGGGGGGGGGGCTGACGCCATTCAGGCCCGGGAGGAGGAGGGGGGCGAGGAGCTCGCTCAAGCTTCGCTCTGTCGGTGTCGGGGGGGGGGGGCTGACGCCATAGCTGACGCCATTCAGGCCCGGGAGGGGGGGAGAGGGGGGGGGGACGCCATGACTGACGCCATTCACGTCCGGGAGGAGGGAGTCGGGGGGGGGGGGGCTGACGCCATTCAGGCCTGGGAAGGGGGGGGGAGGGGGGAGGAGGGCGGGGAGCTCGCTCAAGCTTCGCTCTGTCGGGAGGGGGGGGGGGGGGGCTGACGCTATAGCTGACGCCATTCAGGCCCGGGAGGGAGAAGGGGGGGGGGTTGGACGCCATGGCTGACGCCATTCAGGCCCGGGAGGAGGGAATCGGAGGGGGGGGGCCGACGCCATCGCCATTCAGGCAAGGGAGGGGGGAGGGCAGGGGGGGCTCCCTCAAGCTTCGCTCTGTGGGGGGCGGAGGGGGCTGACACCATAGCTGACGCCATTCAGGTCCAGGAGGGCGGAGGGGGGGGGGGGGAGTTCGCTCAAGCTTCACTCTATCGGGGGGGGGGGGCTGACGCCGTGGCTGACGTCATTCAGGCTCGGGAGAGGCGAAGGGGGGTGGGAGGGCCGACGCCATGGCTGACGCCATTCACGCCCGAAGAGGGCTCCAAGACGGCCCACGGAGGGCCCAAGACAGCCCAAGAAGCCCCAAGGGGGCCCCCAAAAGGCCCCCAAGATATTAAAAAATTCCTCCGACGCGCCCCCAAGAAGCCTCCAGGATGCCTCCAAAAAGCCCCGCGAGAAGCCCAGGAGCGCCCCAAAAGGTGTCATACATCAGCTACGTCAACATCCCAGGAGTTTGGCTGTTCACGCGAGGTCGCCACTTTCGAATGTCCGAAGGTTGCCCAAGCGAGTTCAACATCTATATCTGACGAGGATGTCTTGAGCGAGTGCTCTACTGTTCAAAATGAAAGGTCATCAATTGCAAGCATAATCGGTAGCACCCCGGATCGGCGGCACTGGCCGGAGGCCACTACAGTAGAAGTAAACATAAGTTCGAGCAGCCAGGGAAATATCGAAACATGAGGGCCATGTTCCAGCACCCCTCACGAGGATCGTGGCCTCCGAGGGGGGAGGCGCGATCGACTACCTCCCCCTCCCGCCCCAAGAGGCCCCCAAGAGCCCTCCAAGAGGCCCCAGGGCCCCCAAGACACCGCCAAGGAGCCCCAAGAGGCCCCAGGAGGCCCCTAAGAGGCCCCAAAGAGCGCTCCAAGACCGGCGGTATGAGCGAAGCGGTCAATAATTTCGAGCGCCCAGGAAAGTATCGAAACATAGTCCAACGAGTACCGCCTCCAGGGGCCCGACACGTGGAAACCCTTAGGCTTCGGTAACTTCTTGGTGCTCGAAGTTCTTTCTTGTGGTCAAGGCCGAAGTCAGTTGGAACATCATAACCCTGGGTGTAAGGGCGACCCCCCTCGGTGCTGGTCAAATTTAACCCCACTCTTGGCTAAGGAAATTTCAGGGCGCCAGTTAGCACGCGCAGCAAAGCGGACCGTAAAGTGCAGCGCGGCCCGAACTTTTAGTTTCTAGTCAGCAGCACTTTCCCAGCCCAGTGTCCTACGAACCTCGTGTATGACTTCTTGCTTACTTGCTTGCTTACTTGCTTGCTTTGGTGCGTGGCTTAGTTGGTGCCGCGGGGGGGCCACCGCACAAGCGCGCAAGACGCTGCTACCTATCGCCCCGCGTCCGGCGATCGGGGGACCCCAAATGGGCCCGAACCAAACCCAGACTTGCGACGTCCTGATTTTCTCAGGACGGCGTCCCTGGAAGTCCACACCCTTTCCCCGGGGCAGGTTTTTCATCCCGAGTCGTTTCTGACGGTCCCGGGGGCCTGCGAGGGCCCCAGGGGCCGAAGATAGGGGAAAAACGCCCGCAGTCCTGATTTTTCTCACGACGCGATCCTGTCTGGGAGGGTCCCTCCGGAGAAAGACCACTCTTGCGTCTGGCCGAGGATCACGCTGTCGTTGACGGAGTGGATGATGCCCAGGGTGCCTTGACGGCGCGCAGAGGGGGGTATGGGGGAGTGGGGAAGGCTTCTTAGAAGCACCCCTGCTTCTCAGAAGGCGCGGGCCTTATCTCTGTAGATGTAAGGCCGGCGCCTTCCAAGAAGCAGCCTCCCTCTGAGAAGCCCTCCCCCCTCCCTCCACCTGGGCCGCCGGGGCCCCTTGGTTGGCGTGTTGCTGGGATCGCGGGCGGCTCAACCTCCCTCAGTTGCGGCGCGCGGCCAGGGGCGGAAAGATAACCGCCCGCGTCATCAGATCCCTCCTCCTCCTCCTCCTCCGCCTCCTCCTCCTCCTCCTCCTCCTCCTCCTCCTCTTCCTCCTCCTCCTCCTCCTCCTCCTCCTTCTCCTTGCATATCGCCCCTGGCGGTGCGGCTACAATGCAGCCCCTTTGTGCGCGCCGCCAGGGTGCCGCCGTGCTGCCGCCCCCTGGAGATGAGCAGCTCCGCGTGCGAGGGGCTCGCGTCCAGCGGCCTCCCGGCCAGGGCCTGGCACCTCGGGGCGGGGCGCCTCGAGGGGCAGAGCGGCAGGGAGGGGCCCGTCTTCCACCACCACCACCACCAGAAGTTGGAGGGGGGGGTCCTCTTCCTCCTCCTCCTCCTCCTCCTCCTCCTCCTCCTCCTCCTCCTCCTCCTCCTCCTCCTCCTCCTCCTCCTCCTCCTCCTCCTCCTCCTCCCCCCGCCTCCTCCTCCTCCGCCTCCTCCTCCTCCTCCTCCTCCTCCCTCCTCCTCCTCCTCCTCCTCCTCCTCCCACCCCTCCTCCTCCTCCTCCTCCTCCTCCTCCTCCTCCTCCTCCTCCTCCTCCCTCCTCCTCCTCCTCCTCCTCCTCCTCCTCCTCCTCCTCCTCCTCTCCTCCTCCTCCATTCCTTTTCCTTATCCAAAATTTCTCCCTGTCGCACCCCGAGGCCAGTTTTTAGGGCGGGCTGGGTGCTTCGCCTGAGACTTCCTCACCATGTATGGTTCTGAAGCCTAAAAAGTGACAACAGTTTCACAGATGGAGGGCGGGTGGTTTTCAAAATGTGTCTCTCACCCTAGCGCGGCACACATTCGTTTGAAAAATGGCAAGAGGTTCACGGATTGGGGGCGGGTGGTTTTCAACATGTGGCTCTCGCCTTAGCGCGGCGCACATTCGTGCTAACAAATTGGAAGAGCTTCGCGGATTGAGGGCGAGTCGTTTTCAAAATGTGGCTCTCGCCTTAGCGCGGCGCACGTTCGTCAAACAACATTGCAATACTTTCACAGATTGAGGGCGGCTCCTTTTCAAAATGTGGCTCTCGCCTTAGCGCGGCGCACATACGTTTTCTCATGTGCAAGAGTTCCACGGATTCCCATCATCTACTCACCAACTGATGTGCTTTGGAAGGATTCAGGATTATACGGGCGCAACAGGACGTTGATTCTCTGTGCTGAAGTCATAGGATTGGCGTTCTGGCACGATTCATGATCGTCAAGACGCAACTGTCAGGTTGATCCGTGGCGTTGGAATCCCGAGAACAATGTTTTGGCATGCTTCAGGGTCTTCAAACAGGTGTCTTCCAACGAGGCAGTTCCATGAATGGAAATGAACCGTTGTAGGGGCCTATGGCGAGGGAGCTTGAAGGGAGGGTTAGCTCCAACATCGTTGATGACTCTTGGGTTTACACTGGTCCTCCTCCTCCTCCTCCTCCTCCTCGTCCTCCTCCTCCTCGTCCTCCACCTGCTTCCCCCCTCCAGCTTATGGTGGTGGTGGTGGAACACAGGCCCATCAGGCAGCCCCTACCAAATCGGCCCGGCCGCACCCCTCCTGGGGCCCAAGCGCACCAGCTTCCCGAGCTGCGTCCCCGGACCTCCTCGCGTCACGGAACGATCTCGACGGGAGGTGTTTCGGTCTCCATGAGGGCCCTTCCTGGGCCCGGGGCCCGTCACAGGACGACTCAGGACGAAAACCTCTGGGGGTCGACGCAGGGAGAAAGAAATGACGTCGGGGGGCCAGGATGGGGCCCCCCGAGGGCCAACTGCCGCAGCCTCCGCTCGCCCTCCTCTGAGCACCGCTCCCAAGCCCTCTCCGCCACCAGGGGCGCCAGGAGCTCGGGCGCGTGGGCCGGCCAGGCCTGTCGCACCCGCTGCGCCACCGCCTCCCGCACGTCGTGCAGGGCGCCGTCCATGAGGAGCGCGGGCACCTCGGGCTCCAGCGCGAGCGCCTCCTGAGCGACGAAAGGAAGCGGGTCCTGCGCAAGACGACGTGCGGCCAGGAACTTTTAAGATGCGCGTCGCGGAGGCGGCCCTGGTGACACGCTAATTATGCCTTGCAAGCGGATGGCGTGTCGCTCCGCTCCGCAGGACCCACCGGAAGTGCCGACCCTTTCCCGGGGGCCAGTACGCGACCCTTTCTCAAAATGTTGACTGCCCACGGGGCTCAGCGAGGGCCCCCCGGATACCGAACGACCCCAAACCTTCCTTCATGTTTTTTTTTTGTTTCGCGACGCGAGCACGTCGGGGTGTTCTTCCGTCGCTGCCCTGTCAAGCCCAGGATCGAATCGATCAGTCTGATCTGCGATCGAAATGGATCGGATCGGCGGAAATCGGCAACCGAATCGGACAAAGTCGAACCTGCGGGAATCGGCGGGCTGGTGGGCCTCCACTGAAAAATCGGAGCCCAGATCGAAATCCGAAGCCGAACCGAATCGATATCGGGCGCCATCGACACAGAACCGAGAGTCGAATCGGAGGCATCGACATGAGCCCTGTCCTGTGCCGCGAGACACCCGACCCCGAAGCACAGGAGCCCCGCTCGGCGGCCTGGGCGCTCCCCCCAGACCCCCGACGTCGTGACTTTTTCGCAGCGTCCACCCCCAGAAGTCTGGACCCCTTCCCCAGGAACGGATTTTCAGCCTGAGTCGTTTTTCGACGGTCCCGAGACCCAATGAGGGCCCCTGGAGGCCGAACAAAAACGAAAAGCCTCCCGTCGTGATTTGTGTTCCCATCGGCGGCGAGCGACGGGGGTGAGAGTGGGAAAGGGCGGGCCTTCTCAAAAGGCTCGCAGGTCCCCCAGCCTTCTGAGAAGCTTCCTGAGCCTTCCCCGAAGACGGAGAAGACTTCTCAGAAGGCGCGAGGGCTCCTGAAAAGTCCCGCCGCCCTCTAAGAGGGCCTTCTCCTTCTCACTTCCCCCCCCAGGCGCGCCGCCGAATCTGGTTTTTGGGTCATACCTCCGGTATCCGGCGGCTTTTCGGGACGATCCGGGCACCCTCGGCACGCCCGCGACGAGGCGCGGCTGCGGGCAGGCATCCCGCGGCTGGAAGCCCGCCGAGAACTGAGGAAAGCACCCCGAGGCTGGAAGCCCGCCGAGAACCGACGAAGGCGCCCGAGCACCTCGCAGTCCGAGCCTCGAAGTTCCCAGCCGATCACGACGCGCGGAGGTCTGGGAGCGCGGGAGCCCCGCCCGGCGGCCTGGGCGCGCCCTGCCGCCCAGGAGGCCCTCCGGGTCGGCCACCGCGTAGTCCCACGCGCCGAGCAGGTCGCGGGCCTGGTGTTGCCACTCCGCCCGCAGCTGCGCGTGCCCCCGCCCCGCCCCGCCCCGCAGGAAGGGGACGACGGCGCTAATGTTGGCGAGCCTGGAGGAAGAAGAGGAAGAGACATACTGTCAATCATAAGAAGAAGACGCACAAGAAGACGAATGAGACGAATGAAAATAAGACGGCAAATGTTACTACTAACAAGGAAAATGAAGAAGACGGAGACGACGACTTATACGACTAATAATAGTACACATTCGGATGCGAATGCAAACACTACTGATACGAATACCACTAATCATACGAATTGAACTGCTACTACTACAAATCATTATTATACGACTGATAAGAATGCTACGAATAGTAAGCATACTTCAAATAATAATATAATTGATAAGACTAGCAAGAATAGTAACATTGACACTACGAATAAGTGGCAGCGCGCACAGGGGGGTCGGGGAAAGGGGAAAGCTTCGTAGAAGGCTGCTTCTTGCACGGCGCCGCCCTTATATCTGCAGATAGGGCCCGCGCCTGCCAAGAGGCGGCCTCCTTCTCAGAGGCCTTCCCCCCACACACTCGCCCTGCCCCACCCCTTGCGCGTGGCCGAGAGCGGAACAGGAGGCCCAAGCAGAAACTTTCGGAGGGCCGCGCGGGCTTTCTGGATCGGCGCTGGACCCCCCCCCTTCAATGGGCCTGTTTTCCACCGCCACCACCACCATCATAAGTTGGATGGGGAGGGGGACCCCCTCCTCCTCCTCCTCCTCCTCCCCCTCCCCCTCCTCCTCCTCCTCCTCCTCCTTCTCCTCCTCCTCCTCTTCGTCCTCCCACCTATGATGGTGGTGGAAAACAGGCCCATCACCCCTCTTCCTGGCGTGCGGCGCGCGCCAGGGGCGGCGCCGATCCAAGAAGTCCGCGCGGAGCTCAGAGAGTAGTTTCTGCCTATGCCGCCCGACCCCGAAAGAGGAAGGAAAGGGGGGTGCCACTCGATGGTAGGAGTAGGAAGGCGGCCAAAGTATATTGGAACCTGGGCGTCCAAAAATACATTCTGTCAACGACCGACGGGTATGCCCATGTCGTTTTTGCTCCTTCGAGAGCCGCAGGTAATAAGCGGCGGCCTGCACGGAGCTGTCCAGGGCGGTCGCGTGGCCGCCGTGGGCGAGCACGACCCTGGGCACCTCGGCGCCCTCGACGCTGCTGGCCGCGGGGAAGACGAGCGCCCTCACTGGCAGCGAGTCCTCCCTCGCAGGGAGCGTGACCTCCTTCCATCCCCTGCGCAGGTTGTACGCCTCCAGCTCCTTCAGCACGGGAGAGAAGGTCCGCTTGAGATAAAGGCAGTGCGGCCCGAAGAAGTCGACCAAATATCCGGGATCCCCTCTCGAAGGGTAGTCCTGATTGGCAACGGCCGCGGGGTCTGTGCTGGCAAATCCGCTCAACAAACATAAAACGGATCCCATCAACCATCGGTGCCCGGATCCCTCCCAGGGGGCGGAACCGGCCCGTCCTTCGAGCCGCGTCCCGCCGTGGCGACGAGGAGGCCCCTTCCTCCTTCCTCTCCTGCTGGCCGGAACCGGTGCTGGGCCACCTCGACCTCCCAGCCGGCTGCCCTTCTTGGGCCGTCCTGGAGCTCTCTTAGGGGCCTCCTGGGCCGTCTTGGGAGTCTATCGGGCCATCGTGGACGCTGTGAAAGCCGAAGAGGCGAATATGCTAAACATATAACCTCATGCCCGTGAGAATAAACACTAGGGGATAATAAAGTTCGGGGTTCAGGGAGAGATAATAAAAGTAGCCCAGCAGACCTCAGCATAATCTCGAAGTAAGAGATGATGAAGAGGAGACCAAGCCGAGCACGTTTTGAGACATCCTTGGCGTTTAGTTTTCATAGAAATATCCTCAACAATGGCTTATCTCGCTGGAATGGAGGAAGCTATATATAAAAAAGAGAAATAACAATAATCCATAATAAACTAAAAGAAATGATAGGAGGAGGAGAAGGACGAAGAGAAGAACAAATCTCGAGTTTCAAATCTATTAGATTTTATTTACAAGCGCTTTATGACAATTGTTTTTTGTAAGTGCTCGTGTAGGGGGTAGCTCATGTGCCTCAATTTCCATGGATAATCAACCCCAGAAATAAAAAAGTTCAGGCGAGCGTGGGGACAGAGAGAAATATAAAAGAAGAAGAATACAGTAGAAAAATCATAAGAAAGAAGAAGAAGAGGAGAATAAGAAGAGGACGAAGAAAGGAAAAATCCAAAGTTCCAAATCTATCAATTTTAATTTACAAACGCTTTATGAAAATTGATTTTTTAAGTGCTCGTGTAGGGTAGCTCATGTGCTTCATTTTCCATGGATAATCAACCCCAGGGATAAAAAAGTTCAGGCGAGCGTGAGGACAGATAGAAATATAAAAGAAGAAGAGGAAAATATAATAATAATAATAATAAGAAGAGAAGAAGAAGAGAAGAAGAAGAAGAGAAGAAGAACGGAAAAATGGAAAGTTCCAAATCTATCAATTTTAATTTACAAACGCTTTATGAAACTTGATTTTTTTAAGTGCTCATGTAGGGTAGCTCATGTGCTCCCCTTTCCATGGATAATCAACCCCAGAGATAAAAAAAGTTCAGGCGCGCGCGGGGATAGCAACATCGCTTGATGTTGCTATCTCAACATAGCGTTTCGAGGTGATAATGAAGTTCGGCCTCAGCGCTCGCCGCCCAATTTGAATTTTGTATAGGGCGACGATAATCAACTCTAAACACTGAAGGGGGGGGGGTCCCTTTTTTATCATCGGCATGCGGTTACGTCTTCCCCAGGGAATGAAAGGGTGTTTGCTTCTTTGGGCCCTCTTGGGGGGCCTCTTGGAACATCTTGGGGCGCCTTGGTCCGAGGTCCTGGTACAGCATGAACGCGTCGCCCATGCGCCTGCCGAACAGCAGCACGAACGCAGCCGCGGCCGCGCTCACCAGCAACAGGCACAGCAGCAGGCAAGCTGCCAGCCTGCGGGCCCTGCGCCCAGAGCAACTGCAGGCCCCCATGGTTCGGCACCGGCGCAACCTCTGGGCCACGAGAGCGGACATGAGGAGGAGGAGGAGGGGGAGGAGGAGGAGGAGGAGGAGGAGGAGGAGGAGGAGGAGGAGGAGGAGGACGACGACGAGGAGGAGGACCTCTGGGCCTCGAGGGCGGACATGGTGGTCGTCTGGCTAGCCCTCCCCTGCGCCACGGACATGGACGGCGAGAGGCTGCCCTGCGAGATGGCAGCGCAGCTGTTCCAGCGGGTCCCGTCCGCCAGCTTCGCGGCGAAGCGGTCCGCGCCGTGGTCGATGACGAGGAGGTCGCTCACGGGCCCCTCCTCGTCGGAGAGGCTGCTCCCGTCCATGGAGGAGCAAAGGACGACATAAAGCAGAAGCCTTCGGAGCTCCGCGCGGATTTCCTGGATCGGCGCTGGCCCCCCCCCCTCCCTGACGCGTGGAGTGCGCCTGGGGTTGCGCTGCAGGCGCCGCCAGTGGGCTCCAAGCGCCAACCCAAGAAATCCGCGCGAGAATCCGACAGTTAATGTTTACATCGTTTTCTGTTCCTCGAGTCCAAGCTCAGGTCGGTGCCGCCGCGGCCGCTGGCCTCTTGGGAGCCGTTTGCGGATCTCCTGGGCCGGCTGCAACCTGGAGGCCTCTCGGGCCACGTGCCTCGCCCCCGGACCTCCGAGGTCGAGGTTTTTCATGACGTGCCCCCACCCTCGGGAGCGTTCCATGGGACGCGCAAAGACATACTAGTACTGTATGCTATCCTTGGAGGCGCGCGTCCGACCCGGACATACAGTATGCCCATCTTGTGGTACATCGTTTCCCGAGCGGTGTGGTCAGAAAGCGCCCGCCACGACGCATATAATATATAAGATTTCTCGGTGCGCGCGTCGCCCCTTGGGGGGCAACGCGCATATAGCATAAGTAGAAGTATGTTGGGGTGACGCCCATTCAATAGGGGGTTCGCAACTAGTGCCCCGAAGCATGGGCGCAGACCATTTGGATGCCCGAAACGGGTACGGACAAAAAAATAGTACACTGCCCAACATCAAATGTTGTCCAAAACCGACAGCGGCCGCTGTTGGGCAAGCGCCTTTTTGTCTTCAGTGAACAACGTCCGCGGCGGCGCGGACAGCGAGACCTGTTCAAACTGAACAGACACTGCTGTCGGTCTTTGTACCCCTTCTTTCCGTACCCATTTCGATCGTCCTGAGAGCAGGGGGGGTCACGCGGCGCATTGAAACAAGAAGGGGCGCCATGAGATCTGAGGAGATATCGTTGCCCAGGCCATGATATCCACCCCGCCCACAGTCAGATACAGTCATCCCCCCCTGCTTGGCCGCCCCCGACCCCGGCAGTCTCGACCCATCCCCCCGGGGTGGAAAGGGGCACCCAGAGGCAGAAAACATAAACATAAAAAAGCCTCCAGTCGTGATTTGTCCATGGCCCGAGGATGACTCCAAGAGGCCAGGGAAATCCATGATACTGGCCGCCTCTCGGGGCCCCTTTCGGGAGGGGGCCTGTAGCAGGGCACCCGCTGTACACATACACCGATCCTGGCCCGGCCCATCCTGGGCCCAGGACCCGCCTGGCCAGAATCGGCGCAGGATGGCGCAGGTGCATGGTTGGTGCCCTCCGACCTTGGGGCTCTCTTGGGGCATATTGGAGGCCTCTTGGGCCCCAGCGACGTCGACACCGGCGATGCATCGGCAACGTCGGCGTGAAGAACATCGAGCCCCACATCGAGCCGCATCGGCGGTGCATCGGCGAGGCGGCGCCATCCTTACAACCCCATCAACTCGAACCCATGTGTCGGGAGCGCGCAAACATGGATTATCGATCCATGGATTTGGCGCGCGGCACCTCCCCCAAATGCGGCTGGTGCCGCCTTGCTCGGCGGCGGAAATCCACGAGTTCCCATGGAAACGGGACCCGTCGCTAATCCACGCCCCCTGGGTCCATGTTTGCGATCGCCTGAACCTGGGAGGCCTAGAACCTTGGGAGGCCTCTTGGGCCCCGTGCCCCGCCTCGACCGCCGAGTGCGCCGGCAGCCTCCCCAGCTCGCCCGGCGCTGCGGCGGCCTCGGGACCGCCGCCGCCGGGCCGGGCGCGGGCTGCCGGGCCAGCGGCGTCGAACGCCTCCTCTGGCGGCCGCGCGGGCTTGGCGAGCGCGCCGGGCAACCCCCTCGGAGAGCACAACCCAGACAGGCTCGCGTCGTGAACAAAGTTATCACGACGGGAGCCCAGGGACCGAGGCTGGAGGACCTCGGGCGTTTTCATGAGTTCTCGGCCTCGGGACGAAGTCCAGCAAATGCGCCTTGCCGAGGGCGTTGCCGAGGGCGTTCCCGGGGTGCCCAGATCGTCCTGAACGGCCGCTGGAGATCCGAATGTTAAGAACCGACACGCTCGCGTCGTGAACAAAATCACGACGGGAGGTTCTGGGCTGTTTGCAACTCGGGGCCCCAGAACCGTGTCGTGACGGACCGCGTGGTGACCTCGGAATTCCAAACGACCTCACCGCACGGACGTCACCACAAGGTTGTGGGACATCGGAAGCCCCAACCTCGGAATTCCAAACGACCTCACCGCACGGACCTCTCCATGTGGGGTGCGCTGTATCCCAGAGGGCCCCTCCCCAAGGAAATGCGTCCGCTCTGGGTGCGCCTAGCCTCCCGCAGTGATGATCCTCGGAACACACGATGCGAACCTATTTTGCGCACGATGATGGGGGTCAGGCTTCTGGGTGTCAGAGTCAGCGAGGGGGCAAATTTTTAAAAACTATGTTCTGAGAAAACGATTGGCCTGGGCGGAGAACTCCCAAGGGAATTGCAAAAGAAAAGCAATGGAGAACATAGCTTCTGAGACGCATGCGGCCCCGAAAAACGAAAACCAAACGAATCGAACTTACCTTTTCCTGACCCACAAGGCTGACCCCCATTAGCAAACGAATGAACCTACCATAACACACGTCCTGAGGATCATCGGCCCTACGACCAGACCCAGGACAGAAGAACACCCCTCAAGAACATGAGACCCTCCGCCGGCCAAACTGAAGAACATTCGAGGGTACCTCCCCCAGAACGCACAAGACCATCCAACAAGCACGAAGAACACAAGGGCACCCACTGCGAACCGACCTAGATCTTATACCTCGGCCCCACCATGACACTGGAGGCCTCCGAGATGGGGCCCAAGTAAGTGGAATTGGAGGATCGCGCCGCGTCGCCGATGCATCGACGACGTCGGCGGCGCATCGGCGACGTTTGTGCGGAGAAGAGCGGGCTCCGCATCGAGCCGCATTGCCTATGCATCTGCGATGCGGCGCCGGCGACGCGGCGCGATCCTCCGACCACCTCCGCTCCGACCCCATCTGGGAGGTCTCGAATACCCTGGCCCTGCCATAACACACGTCCTGAGGGCCTCACGCGGCGGGGCCCGCTGCAGAGCGGCCAGGGCGGCCAGGTGCTGCAACTCTGGCAGCGGGCGCGGGGCGGCCTCGCGACCACATCCAGGGGCCCGGGGCAGCAGCCGCAGCGCTGGAAGGTCCTGCCATAACACACGTCCTGGGGGCCGTCCGCCCTGGATCTTTCGTCTCCCCGCACCCTCGGCTGCTCTGCGGCCCCGCCCAGGAGGAGGAGGAGGAGGAGGAGGAGGAGGAGGAGGAGGAGGAGGAGGAGGAGGCAGGAGCAGGAGGAGCAGGAGAGCAGGAGGAGCAGGAGGAGCAAGGAGGAGGAGGAGGAGGAGGAGGAGGAGGAGGAGGAGGAGAGGAGGAGGAGGAGGAGGAGGATCTTTCGTCTCCCCGTACCCTCGGCTGCTTTGCGGCCCCGCCCAGGCGGCCCCGCACGCCGCGGGCGCGTCGGCCGCCGGGCCCGCGCCGGGCCCCGCCGAGGGGGCCGCCGCGGGGGCGGCGCCCGCCGAAGACCGCCGCGGGCCGACCGCGCCCCCGAGGCGGAGCTCGGCCGCGCCTGCGGCACTCTCGGCGCCGCCGCCGCCTCCTTCGGCCTCGCCTCCCTCGGCCTAGGAGAAGGCCTTTGATCAGGCAGTGGCAAGACAAGAACTATCGGAGTTTCTGGTGGGGCACCAAAGGGAAAAGCGCTGACATGTGTGTGTACATTCAGGCTGTGTGGGCGGAGTATTATCAGTCCAAGGGCCTTTCGTCTGCTACGTTGCTGCTCGATTTAAAGAAAGCGTTTGAACTGGTCAAGCATCATCATCTTGTCCAGGCGGCCTCTCGCACTGGATTTCCGTTGTGGCAACTGCGCCTGCTCGTGCAAGTCTATCGGTCGCCCCGCCTGCTTGATCTCCAAGGGACTGTTAGTAATCACGTCACGGCGGAAACTACGATTATCCCTGGGTGTGGTTTTGCGACGGTCTTGCTGCAACTTATTTTGCTGGGCCCCCTGGATGTTGTTCAGAAGGAGTTTCGGGCCATCTGTCTTTCCGTGGTTGTCGACGATTTTGCTTTGCAGAGATCGGGGGAACACGGCCGTGTCGTTGCTGATGTAGCTGGCGCTGGAGTGAAGCTTCAGCGCGAGCTTCAGCGTGTGGATCTACGGCTCGCTCTTGACAAGACGCGAGTTCTTGCTAGTGACTCTGATTTACGTGACCAGCTGTCCAGGAGGCTAGTATCGCTTAGGGCCCAAGGCGTGAACCATGAGCGCAACTTGGGGGTCGACTACAGTTCAGGATGTTTTCTCAGGAGGACCACCAGGACGGGCAGAATTAAGGTCGCCAAACCCAAGCTCAAGAGAATGAAACATCTCCAGGGAGGTATGGCCAGGCGAAAAACCATGGCCATCATGGCTAGGGCGTCGTTGGAGACTTCGGTTGCTTTTGGGACCTCTGTTCAGGGTACTGCCTCAAAGGAGCTGGACGTGTTGCGTTCCCAGGCTGCTGCGGCGCTCGACGCCAAGACCAGCGGCAAGAGCCGCACTCTCGCTCTCGCGCTCGCGCCGCAGGCCAACTACGACCCGATCTGGAGGGCTACGCTGGAGCCTATCAAAGCATTATGCTCTGTTCTTTGGGCGTCGCGTGTGCCATGTCATGTCTTAGAGCATGGCCTTGAGGCTGCTAGATTGGCGTTGTCTGGGAAGGACCAAATGTGGCCGCAGGTTCGGGGCCCCCTGGGAGCCCTTTATGCTACGCTTACCCGAGTCGGGATCGTCGTCGTCGAGCCCCTGGTCTGGAAGCTGCCTGACGGTCTGGAGCTGAAACTCACGGACATTTGCCCCAGGGTCCTCCTTCACTGTTGTGCGCATGCGGTGCGCCACTGGGTCAACCTGCAGATTTCGGAGCACCTTCAGATGCCTGAGTTCCGAACTGGCTTCTGGGATGGGCCTCTGAAGTACCTCCTGAGCGCCAAGGGGAACCTCACTTGGCAGCAGCGTGGTTACCTCAGGAGTACTATCATTGGAGCTCAGTGGCCCCAAGATCGGCAATTTCAACAAGGCTGGATTGACTCCCCGAGTTGCCTTGCATGCCAAGAGGCCCCTGGTACCCTCGTGCACCGGCACGCCGTGTGTAAGAGCATGCTCGAGGCAATAGGAGAGCCACTCCCTGATGCAATCAGACTCATGCTCCCGCATGCGGACCAGAATGACCTGGTGCGCCTGATGCTGGAGCGTGTGCTTGTCCCGCTCCCCAAGGCCCCTCAGGCAGTGCTGCAGACGCCGTCGGAGCCTTGTGTGGAATGGCACGGGGATGCGCAACAGCTCACAGGGGATCTGTATCTTGATGGGTCTTTGTTTACTGATTATCCACATCGCGGGATTGCTGCATGGGCAGTCGTCGCGCTGGCCGCCGACAGTGACACGGCTGTCTGCACCATCACTGGTCTCCTGCCCTACCCGCTGCAGGACATTGACGGTGCTGAACTTTATGCCCTGCTCGCAGTGCTCAGGTTCGCTGTGCCACCTGTTGTCGTGCACACGGATTCCGACTTTGTTTGGAAAGGTTACAATATCCGCGGACCAGCTGACACCACGTCGTCGTCGGCGGCTTGGGCTTGTCTTTGGAAGCTAGTGTGGCACAAAATCGACGATTGGGGGGGAACCCCCCCTGAGGTCAAGAAAGTGAAAGCCCATGCGACCGACACCATGATAGCGGAGGGGAGGTATAAGCTTCGGGATAAACTTGGAAATGATGCCGCCGACGGTGCTGCGAATTGTCGTGCTCGTGTCCTGCGGCCCTATCCCCAGTTTCTGAAGCTTTCTTTGATGCAGAAGAAGATGGTCAGTCTTACGGGGAAATGGGCCGCCAGGGCGGGTGAGGCCATTGCTTCTGTCGACTGTCTGCACCGTCAGCGCTCTGCACGTTCAGCCCCCTCCCTAATCATTGTCAAGCCAGAGCCTCCCACCTTAGAGCAAAGGATCCAGCAGTCTCAGGCGTCTCTGAAGGCCGCTGGGTCCAAGCATCATCGGGTGGCCTCGTTCTTTGTGGGCGAAACCCAGATTTTTTGTTGCACTCACTGCGCTGCATGCACCACCCAGCGCGTGGTGTCTCTTGCGAGTGAGCGCCTGCCCCGTCATCTCTCGAAGGATCGTCGCCTTATCCTCGATCGATTGAGACGGGGCGAGTACTGTTTGGCCAAGAGGGTTCTGAGGTATGCAGGATATCGCCTGCTCCCAGAGCCCTAATCCTTTGTCTGATGTCCGATGGGCGCGGCTAATGGCGGTTGCAAGGTGCGCCCCTAGCCACGTTCGAGGTCCTGCTGAGGCACCATAGACTCTGTGGCGCCCCAGGCTGTGCCCAGGAGGAGGAGGAGGAGGAGGAGGAGGAGGAGGAGGGGGAGGAGGAGGAGGAGGAGGAGGAGGAGGAGGAGGAGGGAGGAGGAGGAGGAGGAGGAGGAGGAGGAGGAGGAGGAGGAGGGAGGGAGCGAGCGAGCGAGTGGCGCAGCAGCAGTCGGATCGATAGCTGCGGCCGTGGATGGAGATCGCGGGAGGGTGGGCAGAGATGCCAACCCTCCTGCTAGTATAGGGCGCCCGAGTGGGCGCCACGCCGCGCCCGTGGCGAGCACCTCCCGTGGGTATAGTGCTTGCCACGCTGAACAGTCAGCGCCTGCAAACCAGGCACCCAGTGAACACGACAGCTACATTTCGGCACAGGCCGATGGAAGGCAAAGATGCCTCCTGGGGTGGTGAAAGAAAAAGAGGGGGCCACGAAAAGGATTCGCGGCCCCAGGATACTAGTCAGACGAGCCCGAGTCTCCCTCCCCAGCGCCACAGCCCACAACGATGCTCGAGGCTGCCGCAGCAGCAGACATGGAAGAGCACTGGGCGGTGGCACTAGCGCGGTCAGGAGACTCTGGCAGGAGCTCTAGCTGGACACCCGTGCCAGGGTGTCGGCCACTCTCCGCACGAGCAAGCTTCCTGAAGTGACCATTGCGCGTCGCCTGCACTTGCGATACACCACGGCACATCAGACGAAGTCCCCGGCAACAGCCATCAAGGAACACCAAAAAACAAGCGCAACTCTGGCAAATTATAACCCGCCCATATCTGACTGGGCGGTGGTCCAACTCTCGGAAAACATCAAGGTCCTCATTCCAGGCGGCCGACCCTGCTGCCTCAGCACGGGAGAGAGTGGGGGTCCTCAGGAGGCCCGAGGCGGAGGGAGGAGACTCAGGGTCGGCCGACTCTGGCTGCAACTGACTAGGGGCCCTCTCTTGGTCATGGAACGCGCTCTCATGGTGGCTCCCAGGCAAAGCGGGCATGGCGTCAGCAGCAGCAAGGGCAGTCCGACCACACGGGTCACCTGGGCTGGATTCATAACTCTGAGAAAACCCACGCGCACGCAAGGCCTGGATCGGGTCTGGTCTGCAGTGCTTACTGGCCCCACTGCGGAAGCCTTTTCCAATGTGTGTTCAGTAGTGGCAGAGATGTTACAACTACGGCACCTCCACTCTGATCTGGCTGGTATGAAAACTAACTCATGCTGGACGAGAGAAACAACCCACCCCCTGCACTGGTGCCTTTGGGGGCACAAGCGGAAGTTCAATAGTTTGGCCTGCAATCCCACATACCTGGACGGCCCTAGGTAGAAAATCCAACGTGCTCTTACGCTCGACAGAAGCCGCAACGTCTGGCGCTTTGTGCATCGACGGCCCGATGCGGGCGAAACAATCGGCCCAAAGATTGCCACACCAATCCTCAATGTGGCGCTGAGAGAGATGGAGCACATCTTCGAGCTCGCGATGGGCAGGGACCCAGGTGAACTTGGGCCTGGGGCGGCCCTCGGCGGCAGCGATTATCTCACGCCAGATGTCAGCATGCTGTGATCGCGCCCCCTCCAAAGACAGATCCCACGAGGCGCCTTCCCGAACAAAAGAGAGGAGGAGGGGGAGGAGGAGGAGAAGGAGGGGGAGGAGTAATAGGAGGAGGGTGAGGATGAGGATGAGGATGAGGATCAGGATGAGGATGAGGATGATGCTGATGATGATGATGATGATGAGGAGGAGGAGGAGGAGGAGGAGCAGGAGGAGGAGGAGGAGTCCCCCACCCCAGGCACCATAGCCGTTCAAGGCTTCTTTCTCACCGAGGCGAAGGGTAACGAGGGAGAAGAGGAGGAAGACGAGGCGGAGGGGGAAGGTGGGGGAAGCAACGACAGGAGGGAAAGCGCAGAAACGATAATGCGGGAGGACAGGAAACGAGAGGGGAGGCGAAAACACGACGAGACAAGACGGAACGAGGCAGAACGACAAGGCAAAAGAGCGGGACCGAGGCATCAGAGACCACCTCGAAGGTGAAATTGCGAGTAGCCCTTAAACCGAAGGCTACCGCGAAGATTCTGTTGTGAGTGACACTCACACCACCCCAGAAGAAATCCATATCTTTGACAGCGACCGCGAAGATCTTGATGCGAATGGCCCCCGCACCACTCCGTACTACCCCAATCGCTCAAATAATCACGATCCTTTGAACTTACCTCGTAATTCGGCAGCACCTTGCCCAACGCCGCGCTGTACGAAACCACTGCCACGGCTTTCTCCGCGAGTGCGAGGTGGCACTGCTTCCAGGAGCACATTCGGCACGAACTCGTCAGCCTCCTTGAGAATGGCCGAGATGTCAGGCCTCCCGCCAGGTCCCACCGCCAGGCCTCCCGCCAGGAGAGCAACGAGAAGAAGCGGGAGAGATGATATGCTCATCATCGCCCCGAAGATCCGCATCTCCATTGGCACCCCCCTGACGAGCAGCAACCGGACGCAGATCGACACCGCCATCCTCAGCAGCGCCCAGATGCTCCTCATCCCACTCGGCACCTCCCTGAAGATCAGCAGCCCCATGCGGATCGACACCATCATCCTCGGAAGCGCCATGAAGATGCGCGTCCCCATCGGCACCTCCCTGTGGTCAACCGCCCCATGCAGCTCGACACCCACCATTGTCGGCAGCGCTCGGAGGATCCGCATCTCCATCGGCACCTCCCTGAAGACCAACAACCCCATGCAGATCGATACCTCCCCCCTCAACAGCACCCCGAAGATCCGCATCCCCATTGGCACCACCCTGGAGATACGCAGCTCCGTGAAGATCAGCTTCTCCCACATCGCCTTCTCAGGGAGCGGCAGGAACCGCAGCACCATAGAAGAAGGCATCTTCATACTCACGAATGCCATCACCACCTGCCAATTCACAATGATGAAGCATCAAGGGCGTCTGCGTCATTGCGTCTCGGGACTCTCCATGTAGAAAGTTATCCTCCTGAAGTTCAGCACCTCCTCTTCAAACGCCTGGGTTCTGAAGATCGGCACCTCCAGCATCGGCATCACCATGAACAGCATCGCCATGAAAATCAGCGACACCATGATCGGCTCCATGAGGCTCGGCATCGGGTGGGCCGGGAAACCTCTGTAGATTTGTCCCGCTCCAGATTGTCCAGGACGTCGTCGGCGCGGAAGCTCGTGAGGTGGCGCACCACCTCGTACGCGTGGTTCAGGTCCTCCAGCTGCGTGACCGCCCGCTTGTCGAGGCGACGAGGGGCGACCCGCTGGCGAGCGGACATCTAACCGTCGCGGATGCTGGGGACGTGCCGCGCCTGGTGCGTGGCGAAGAGGCCCAGGGCCCGCTAGCAGCTGGACACGAGGATCGCCATGGCCACATCGTCTCGGGCACGCGGTCGTGCCGTGAGGAGAGGGCGCGAGGTACCGCAGGGCTCGGGACGCATAGTTCCACACAGAGCTCGAGCCCAATAGGCTACGGAGGAGGAATAATAATACGAGGAAGAGGAGGGGGGGAGGCGGAGGAGGAGGAGGAAGGGGGAAGGCGGAGGAGGCGGAGGAGGAAGAGGAGGAGGAGGAGGAGGAGGAGGAAGAGGAGGAGGAGGAGGAGGAGGAGGAAGAAGGGGAAGGAGGAGGAGGAGGAGGGAGAAGGGGGAGGGGGAGATTAGGACAAAAATAGGGAGGAGGAATAATAGGACGAGAACTCAGATAAGTAATCATAGGAGGAGGAGGAGGAGGAGGAGGAGGAGGAGGAGGAGGAGGAGGAGGAGGAAGAAGAATCATAGGAGGCGGGACCGAGAGCAGGGGGAGAGGGACGAAGAACATCCCTGGGCCTCGCCCGATCCCTCGGCGCCCTCGGAGCCCATGCCAGGCCCGCCGCCGGCCTCCGCCGGAGCGCGGCCGCAGCACTGCGCCCAGAGGCCCGTGGCCTCTGGGCCGGCGGCGGCGGCCGCCGGCACGCGTCCAGAGAAGCGGCGGCCTGCGGCGGGGCGCGGCCTTCGGCGGCCCTCGGATGCCACCGGAGGCCATGCCGGCGGGTTTCGGCGGCCTTCGGCGGCCGCCCCAGACCTCCTCGCGCTGTGCAGAGGTCACGACGGGAGGCCGTTCGTTGTTCTCGGCCTCTGGGGGCCCTCCGACCGGGCCTCGGGACCGTCAAAGAACAACTCAGTGATGAAAAACCGGTCCCCGGGAAGGGGTCTAGACTTAGGTCAGGCACGTCCCCCTAATTACAAGCGGATTTTTGGACGAAAAATAAACAATAACCCAGAAATGCTCCAAAAATGCTCGTCAATGGTAGAACAAATCGCCCCCAGACTTTTTTTTTACGCGCCCGACCTAAGTCTAGACCTTTGGGGGTCGACGTTGTGAACAAATCACGACGTGGGAGGTCTGGCATGGGCGGGACGCCGGGAGGCCGGGCGGGTGTCAGGACGTTAGGAGGGCCAAGCATCGACTCGAGAAGTTAGATCGGCGATGGGAATGACGCGGCGGTCGAAGTGGATCCATCATATGCTTGTTTTCGAAGTGGATCGACACATAGACTGGTGGCGAGAATCGAACCCGTAATCCTACATCGGGCTCGATGAGTCGGATCAGCGATCAAAAACAATCGGACCAGCGGAAATTGGCAGAGGTCGAATCGGCGAAAATCGGCTGGCTAGTATAAGGCCTCTACTGAAACAGCGGAGCCCAAATCGGAATCCGAAACCGAACCGAATCGGAATCGGAATCGGAATCGGAATCGAATCGAATCGAGATCGGCATCCCGAGCCGAAGCCGAGTCGGAATCCGCATCCGAAGCCGAACCGAATCGGCATCGGGATCGATCGAAGCCGAATCGCACCGGGCCGGGGGAGACGAGGCCAGCCCCGGCCTGCCGGCAGGTCCGCCGCCGCCGCGGCCATCGCCGGGCACGCGCGGCTTCCGGCGCCCGCCGGCGCGGGGCCAAAGTGGCTGCGGCCCGCGCCGCCTCCTCGTCGGGGGGCCCAGGCCCCCGACGAGGCGCTTCCGTCCATGCTGGCGCGTCTCCTCGAGCTCGGCCCGGGGGGCCCGACCTCGGGACTGCAGGGCCAAGAACAAGGGGTGCGGCACGGAAAACTGCCCCATGGGAAGGGGTCGGAGCGGCGCATCGAACTTCGCCTGGCGAGGGACCCAACCGACTGCAGCTGTGAGTACAATACCGCAGGACAGGAGGACATGCAAGGGGGGGCGGACACGAACACATGGACGAGGTCGTGCGCGGGAGGGACAAAGCGGCGCTGCTGATGGGGTCGCAGAGGTCGGCCGTGACGGGTGACGTCCGGCTGTGACCCGTTACGGCTGATCTGCGCGTCTGTCGGCGCGGCCCTGGGTAGCAGCGGGCGGCGGGGCCTTCGGTGGAGCTTCCTATGGGGCCACGAAGCGTGTGAGGAGTGTGCCAAAACTGTGTGGAGTCACGCGTGCGAGTCCTCTGCCACTAGGGCCTTGGGGGTGGAGCTCCCCATGGGGTCACGAAACGTGTGGGGTGTGTGTGCCGAAATAGGGGCGGTCACGCATACGAGTCCTTTGACACTGAGGCCCTTCGGTAGATCTCCCTGTGGAGCCATGAAACGTTTGAGGGATGTGCCGAAATGGGCGCGGTCACGCATGCGATTCCTGCAACTGAAGCCCTCGGTGGAGCTCACCATGGGGCCACGAAACGTGTGAGGGGTGCGCCGAACTGGTGTGGAGAAGACATGCGACCCTAGCAACTGGAGCCTTGGCTGGAATGTCCTATGGGGCCACTGGTGTGGAGAAGCCATGCGGCCCTAGCCACTGGGGCCTTAGGTTAAGCGCCCTATGGGGCCACGAAACGTGTGGTGGGGGGGGGGGGGCCGAAATGGGGTGGAGAATGCATGCGACCCTAGCCACTGGGGCCCTGGGGGTGGAGAATGCATGCGACCCTAGCCACTGGGGCCTTGGGGCCTTGGGGGTCACGAAGCGTGTGCGCGGTGCGCCAAGATGGTGTAGAGAGGGCATGCGGGCCTAGCAACTTCGGATGGCAGAGGCAGGGCGGGGGAGGAGAATGGGGAGAGCAGCGGGAGGGAAGGAAGGAGACGCAGGTCGCTCTCTCTCTCTCTCTTTCTCTCTCTCTCTCTCTCTTTCTCTCTGTCTCTCTTTCTTCCAAGCGAGTGCTCAACGCCACGGGATGGCTGGGACAAATCACATCGTCAGATGTCTGGAAAGTGGTGGCAAGGTCAGCTGGTCCTCCTCTTGGCCCTCCTCCTTCTCCTCATCATGCATCGTCTCTTTCACGCATGTGCCATGTTTGGACCTCCGGGGTCATCACTTCCAGGTCGTCGACAACTATCTGACTGCGCCCCGCGCACCCCGCGAGGTGCGACGCGCGATTGTCCTCGCGCTTCCGCACAACCTTCTGGCGAAGAGCAGACCGCGAAAAGCGATGACCTTCGCGCACACGCGAGTAGTTTCTTCACTTACACTGCGGCATACCTAAGGTGGTACGAAGGGCTGCGCGGGCACGGCCAGCTTGTTCCTTGCGCACGAAGCGTTCCTCAAAGGTGGCCCCCTTCCTCTCCAAGTCCTCCTCGCCACACTCCCCACTCCTCCTTCTCCAGGGTGTCCAGAAGCCTTCAGGAACGTCAGCCTCCGAAGCCATCTGAAAACCGCCGACTATGAGAATTTGATTGCCACAGAAAAGACGCCAACGGATGGCGAACGCTACACGTTCTTCTTCTCCTCCTCCTGCCCCTCTGTCCGCCTACCTCCCCCTGTGTCCCTCCTCGCTCCTACCCTTTCTCCCTCCACCCTACCTCTTCCTCCTCCATCGTCATTGCCTTCGCGTTCCTCCTGCTGGTCCTCCATCATCCCCCTCCTCTCCCCTCCTCCCTTCTCGTTCCCATCCTGGATCATCCTTCCCTCCCGCGCTCTCGTCTACCCGTTCCCCTCTTTCTCCCTGCAAAATACCTATCCTCCCGTCTCAGGATTCTCACGAGGATGGGGGAAGGAGGAGCGAGTCCGCGGAGGGGGCTCGTAGGGCGATGATGAAAGCTTTCATTCGAAGTCGCGAAAAAACAGGTCGACCCAGAGCAAACTGGACCGAGCGCAGAGGGCCTGCGAAACGTGTAGCGGATCCACGCTGTGAGTTCGAATGGGCTGGCCAGGGAACCATGAGGTATACCACCACTCCCACGTGTCCCACGCGTCCCACAATTCACGGAGGAGGGAGGAAGACAAGAAGGGAGAAGCGTCAGTACCACATGAGAGACGACGAGGCGAGGGAGGAGGAGGAGGAGGAGGAGGAGGAGGAGGAGGTGGAGGAGGACGAGGAGAATATGGTGGAATAGGAGGACGACGACGCAGAGGGAGGGCAAGAAGTAGGATGGAAGACCGACGGGGAGAGGAGGAGGAGAAGGAGAGGGAGGAAGATGAGAAACACAAGAGGGACGAGGATGAGGAGAACGAGGAGGAGGACGACCAGAGCCAGCACAGGAACGATGCTGCAGCAGGCCCTCCTGCCCCAAGTCCTCTCCTCAGAAATTCCTGACGTAATGATTTCCACTGCGGGAAAAAGGGCCCTTTGAATAACGACAATGCCGACGAACCCCGATGATGCCGTCCCGCCATCGTTGTCGCCGTCACGCTGCCGTCGCCTCCAGAAGGCCCCAGCGGTCTTCTCTGGAGGTCCCCGAAGGTCCGAAAGCCACCACGGTCCTCCACATGTTCAGACATGCAAGCAACAACTTCCAAGCATCTCGTCGCCGTCGTCGGCAACGGCGACGCGCCAGAGCCTTCCGCCTTGATGCACCCGACCGCCTGCTGGACCGCCATGAAGTGGCCGTCCAGCAGCTTGTACAGCCCAGGAGCCTCTGTGAGGGCGGGCTCTCTCTGCTCGCTCTCTCCTCCCCCGCGGCAGGCCTCCTCATGGTCGAGCGGCAGGTCTTCTCCCCCCTCCCCCTCCTCCTCCTCCCCCTTCTCCTCCTCCCCCTCCCCCCCCTCCTCCCTCCTCCGGCCTCTCCTCCTCCTCCTCTCCTCCTCTTCTCCTTCCTCCCCTCCTCCTCCCCCCTCCCCTTCCTCCGCCTCCTCCTCCCCCTTCCCCTTCCTCCTCCTCAGCCTCCCCATTCTCCTCCTCCTCCACCTCCTCATCCCCCCCTCCTTCCGAGCGAAACCACGACATTCTTCAATCGGGCCCTCGCTTGGGCCCTGCTGGGCGGGCTGCATGCTTCAAACGTTCAACGTCTACGGAACGCGCGCGAGCGTGCTGGCAGCGATCAAACCACACGTAATACAATCATTATTTGCTGGGCACGGCAATATCAGAGCCTGGCATGGCCATCCACCTCAGGCTCCTTGCTTCCGCCTCATCTCTCACACCCCTCCTCCTCCTCCTCCTCCTCCTCCTCCTCCTCCTCCTCCTCCTCCTCCTCCTCCTCCTCCTCCTCCTCGTGCCTCCCTCCTTCCAGCACTCTCTTGAGAGGCATAAGACGAAGTCAGGATGAGGCTAGAACACCGGATGAGAATAAGTCGAGAATCTCTAAGATCCGGCGGCGCTGGAGGATGTGGCGGGCGCCGCGGCCGTCTCAGAGAGTTCCGAAACGCTGCGCTCTGGGAAGGATTGATCATCGTTCTGGGACGGAGTGAGAGGGAGCAGGCCTTCCCATAAGGCGATGGGGCTTCTCAGAAGCCCTCGGGCCTTCTGAGGAGTTCTCAGCGTCCTCAGGGAAGGCTCAGAAAACTTCTCAGGCCCCCCTCTCCCTTCCCCCCGGGCGCGCCGTCGAAGATGGGCACGATGATGCGAAGAAGAACGAACGTGGAGATTCGCGCAACGACGCGCTTGCACACCAACCTGTTTAACATGGATTGGATATGCGTGAAGGAGAACCAAGTCATCCGAAATGCATGCCTTCTTATGGTGCTCAATAGCAACATCTATCGATGTTGCCCTCATGGTCTATCCTGGCACGCTGGCACCCATGCATTCGGGCCTTCTGCAAGTCCGACAGAAGCTTCGGTTTCAGGCCAGCGAGGGCATCGAGATTGTCACGATGGAAAATCTCGTAGGACTCGTCGAGAGTCGTAGCCCTCACTAGCTCAGCATGCTTCATGTTCCGGGACAACCACAGGTCGTAGGCACCTGAGGCCGGTGCTACGGATAAAACGCGAACCTCCACAACTTTCTCACTGCTCGAAAGAAAATATTCGCACCCACACGGATCGATACTTCGGGCGCGTTGACGCTGGAATGTCACACTGGGCTGGCGTGAGAGTGGCCTGTTCGTGCTCCCATAGTTTCAAATCGATTCATGCGAGTAGCTCCACTTCGACTTCTCAGATCTTCTGAGCACTGCCGATGCCGCTAATCGAACACGTCAACACTCGAATCAGCAGACAAGAGCGCACGGCTTGCCCAAGCTCATGCAGTTCGCAACTGCCTGCAAGTTTAGACCAGCGTGCAACAAGTGCTGGGATTCGTTGTGCGACTCGGAAGAGGATCAGCGCACAGCCGAGCAGAAACTCCTTAGATGAGAACACGTTCCACAAGACGACCACAGGAGAATGTGGAGGAACGCACGTCCGAGCCCAAATGCGACAAGATGAAACTATGAGGATGTGGAGAGAACGAAAAAAGAGGAAGAGCGCACGCCCGACAGACTGGAGGATAATACATGATGCTCACAATCACGAGAATGAGGATGATAAAGAGCGGAGAGACGCACGTCCAAAACGGTGCGTGACTGGCAGAACAGTGTGCGGGAGTGGAAGAAGAGGAAATTGAAGAGCACGACGAAAGAAGCAGCAGAAGACCGACGCCAACAAGAGGAAGAAGAAGAGGCGGGAGCGAAATAAGTACAAGAAACGGAAAACAAAACGAAACGGCACGCAGTGAGAGGTGCGGCAGATTTCTGCCCCAGTGGCGTCAGATCTGGTCTCTCATACTGCGCAGATTCGCCATCCCTGGACGGTCTCCGCTGTGAGTGGCACCAACGTGATGGGCACGAGGTGCGACAAGAAATTCGATGCCCAATAGCAGATGTGGTCCCAAACCGACGGCGGTCGCTGGTCGGGACAGCGGCCGCCGTTTGGCGATGTCCCCGTCTCAGATGGAGAACGCCCGCGGCGGCACCGACTGCGAATCCTGCTCCAAATGGATAATTCAAGACTGGTGTCGTCGGGGCTCTACTGACCCAGGCGAATCCAGACCCGGGTCAGCCAGGCTCCGCAGGATCCTGCAAAAGCCTGCAAGGTCATGCAGGATGCTGCGGCTGCGTCCACGCCCAGGTCAATGCAAGCCTGGCTCCGTTAGAAAGATACTGCGTGCACATAAGCCTTTGGCGCTCCGCGAGAATTTCTTGGATCTGCGCTGGACCCCCTCCCTGGCGCGCGGAGCGCGCCATGGGCGGCGCTGGAGGCGCCGCCAGGGGGGGGGCCCAGCGCGGATCCAAGAAATCCGCGCGGACCGCCAAAAAGTGATGTGTACACCCTGCGAAATGCTTTAGAAATCATGGGTTAAGAAATTCATAGTCTCAGAATTTGAATAAAAACCCAGAATCTCTATTCAAATCGTGGGATTTACATTGAAACATTAAGAATAATCGAGACTCTGGCCGAAAACTTGGGTATTCTTAAGCATCGCCTAAGGTGTATGCCTTTTTGTCTCCTTCGATCTTGGGATGCTGCAGAAGCCGGCGCTCTGACTGACCCCCCCCTGTTGGCATTGACCCCCCCGTCTCGCGAGCCCCGACGTCGGCCCGTCGTCCCCCGCTGGCGGCCTCCGTCCCCCCGTCGGCCGTTGGCCTCGAGAACGCCCGTGCTCGCGCTGCCCCCGCGCCGAGGGCGCTCACGGGCCCACCGCGGGCGAGGGAGGAGACACCCCCGCCCCTGAGGCATGCGGGGGGGGGGGGGGGGGGACCAGCTCAGGGGTGCCGCCATCGAGCCATCGAGCTTGGCTCGCATCGGCGTCGCATCGCCGGTGGAGCGGCGTGAGGCCCTGGATCGCGACGCCGCACGCTCCTGGTCGGGGTGGGCTGGTCGAGCCCCCCCCCCAACGTTGCCCTTGAACTCTCCATTCCCCTTCCCCCGGGCAAGCTCTTCCGCCCGACCCGTCGGCTGACAACCCCTGGGACTCGGAAACGGCGCCCGGAGACCGACATTGACGAGAACCCTCTGGCGCCATTGTTCGAGTCGCTGGAGATCTCAGGGTGGAGGGGGGGGGGAAGAAACGAGCGTAACAGAGGAAGGGGGGAAGGCGGAGGCGGAAAGGGGAACGTTTCGTTTTCGTTTGTGACGCCGGCACCTCCGCCCTTGACCGATATCCGCCTTCCTGGCTGGTCCAAGTCCGCGGCGGAGGACGTCGATGCCGATGGCACCATGAAAGTCGCGTGGATCTCGCAGTAGGCCTCGGGGCGGAGGAAAGGCGAGGAAGACGGACTGGAGTCTGGAGGGAGAAGGGAGAGAGAGAGAGAGAGAAACCGTGCAAATCAGAGATGCATTGGCACAATTGTGCCACGACCATTCTTCGCACACTGTCAGTAGCACTACCATGAAGCAGTGACAGCGACAACGATGACGACGATCATTTGAAGGCAATTCGCTCCTACTTGCTCCCGTCTCTTTCCTTGCTGTGCATTCCTCGCCCTCATCCGTCAACGTGCCCCTGGCGCGTTTTGAGGCGTAGTGGAATGCAACGTGCCGCCTGGTAATTAGTGTTTCTGTAAATCTTCTAACGGGCCTCTCCCCTCTCGTCACACTTCCTTGCGTGCATTGCCTATTCTCAGGTCGGGCATGTCCCCCTTTCAGGCGGGTCTTGGAAGAACAATGAAACACATAATCAAACAAATACTCCAAAATAAGCAAACATTGTCGAAGTATCGTCCCCAAACATTTGTCACTATTCTTGAACATTCCTCCTGTAGAGGGACATGCCTGACTTAAGCCCGCCCCCCGTCCCGAGGCCCCCCAAGCGGCCCCCGAAGCCGCCAAGATGGCTCAACAGTGCCTGAATAGGCACCCAAAACAATCCTCAAGACGACCGCAAGATACTTACGCTAAACAGGCCCCAAGCGGGGACTCACTGGCGCGGGTCGGCGCAAACCTGGGTCGAACAGGCCTGGAAGGACCCTGCAAGATCCTGCGGGCTGCTCTCCATGAGGCTCCTGCACGCGAGCCCGGGTCAGTGCAGCCCTGGCCCTGCAAGATCCCTGCAAGATCCGGCGCCCTGGCTGACCCCCGTTTGCACTGACCCTCGTCCCTTCCCAGACCTCCGATAGTCGTGATTTTTCGCAACGTCGACCCTCAAAGGTCTGGACCCCTTCCCGGGGACCGGCTTTTCATCCTGAGTCGTTTTTTGACGGTCCCGTGCCCGGCAAGGGCACCCCAGAGGCCGAAAATGACGAAAAACCTCCGGGCGTGAGTTTTCACAGCGCGAGGTCTGGGTTGAGCCCAGTCCCAATAGGCTTTCACGACACCCGGGGGGCCGTGCGCTGCAGCGCGGCAGGGCGGAGCGGCCCTTGTTGCGGAGGCCACGCCGGCCGGAGGTGGGCGGCCGACCCGCCGCGGAGAGGCGCTGCGTCGCGCTCGGCCGTGGCTCGTCCCGAGCAGTCAGGACATGGTGCGTAAGCTCAACAATCCATCTCGAGTAAGCCCTCCACCACGAACTCCATCAGCAACGCGCCGGCCACCAGGATGAGCACGAGGACAATGAAGATTTGTTTTTTTTTTTGGGGGGGGGGGCGAGGCCCGTGTCAAGGCCCACGCCAACGCCGTACCGAGGGATGTCACGACGAGGCCGATGCCATCGAAGTAACGACATACGAACCAAATTGACCACACCCAACGGCCAGAACCAGACCACCGTGGCAACTCATGGTAGGCTTAGGTAGGGCCTGTCCCCCTAGCAAGGGGATGTTGAACGACACATGGAGAACATAGTCAAAACAAGTTAGGAAATGCTCAAACATGTTATTCCAAAATCGTCCCCTGTTTATTGTTTCGACTATTTTTGAGTATTCCTCCTGCAGGGGGACGGGCCCGACTGAAGGCGAGGCGTCCATGTGCGCTCGCAGACCGGTGCTGCACGGCGCTGCCCGGAGCCAAGTCGGACGCCGCTCGACGCCGACCCGGCGCCAATCGGATCGATGGCCAGTCGCGCGCCACACGCGAATGCCGAAGACATACCAGGCTCCTGTGAGTTGCCCCTGCAAGAAGGCACGCCATACTACTTCACTTGTTTTTTATGTATTGGCAAAAAATTAGACTACGTGCTTTTATATAGATATATGTATATACAAATATACTAAGCGTCGTGTGGCCTTCGTTGGGCCCTGGGCCCATCAGAGAAAGACCAAGGACGAAAAACCGGTCCCCTGGGAAGAGCTCCAGAGCTGCTGGGGGACACCGTCCTGAAAGAATCATGACATCGGAGGCCTGGGAATCATCCTAGCAGCATTGCCGACTCGGGAAGAAAACCTGGTTGAAAAAATGTTGACGTCGCGCTTCTGCTATCGCCGGCGTGGGCCCACCGCCGAGAAGGAGGAGAAGGAAGAGGAGGAAGAGGAAGAGGAGGAAGAGGAGGAGGAGGAGAAAGAGGAAGGAGGAAGGAGGAAGAGGAGGAGGAGCACGACGACGAGGGAGGAAGAGGAATGGGAGGAGGAGGAGGAGGAGGAGGAGGAGGAGGAGGAGGAGGAGGAGGATGCGGGGCCTCCGCCGCGGTACCTCCGCTCGGGCTATCCGCCGAAGGCGAGGAACCTCGCCGAAGGCGAGGCCCAATGTCTGGAGCTTCGCCACGCCTTCCGTGGCGGAGCGAAGCCAAGCGGAGACCTGCCACGCTAAGTGGAGTCCTCCGCGCCACTCGGGCCTCCTCCTCCTCCTCCTCCTCCTCCTCTTGCCTCCTCCTCCTCCTCATCCTCCTCCTCCTCCTCCTCTTCCTCCACCTCCTCCTCCTCCTCCCCCTGCTCCTCCTCCTTCTCCTCCTCTTCCTCCACCTCCTCCTCCTCCTCCTCTTCCTCCACGGCTCTCGTCCTCCTCTCCGTGGCCTCGAGCATGGAAGCGTTGTGCCTGCCCGCCGCTTCGGCGAGGCGCGCCCGCCGAGAAACGGGAGAGCGGGCAGCCCCGCGACGGCGCCTTGGTGAAGTCGATCCTCGAGGCCCGCGCGGGGTCCGCGCCGACAAGGCCCACGTCCCACGCGCCGTCCTCGGCGGACAGGGGGCATCGTCGCCTTGGTCGTCGTGGCCGTCGTCGTCGTCGTCGTCGTCGTCGTCGTCGTCGTCGTGGTTCTCGTAGTCGTGGTCGTCGTCGTGGTCGTGGTCGTGGTCGTGGTCGTCGTCGCCGTCTTCGTCGTCGTGGTCGAGGTCAAGGTCGAAATCGTCGTCAACATCCTGACGTCGTCGTCGTCGTGAAAGTCCGCCGGCCCCCTTGCGGGGCCACCGGGCTGCGAGGGTGAGGATTGCAGCTCCCTGTTCCAGTTGCAGTTTCCAGTTTCCATTGTTACAGTCCTGCTTTCTGCTTCCTTACTGTTAACTATTGCTGAACGCGCGAGGGGGGGGGAGCCCCAAACCAGCTTTTTTAACACGCCCAGATCGCGTTGTCTGAATTCCTGGCGGGACGTGGGATACTGAAAATTACATGATGTTCGCGCCCCGAAGCCATAATCCTTAGTAAATTAAGCCATATTCGCGCCCCCGAGGCCATATACCTTAGTAAATGACGCAATATCTGCGTCCCCGAAGTCGCGTCCCCGAAACGATAAACCCTCGTAAATTACTCAATATTCGCGCCCCCGAAACCATAAGCCGGTGTAAATTACATAAGATTTGCGTCCCCGAAGCCATAAACATTTGAAGATTACACATTATTCGCGTCCCCAGGGCCATAACCTCCTCCTCCTCCCCCTCCTTCTCCTCCTCCTGCTTCACCCCATTACTTGTCTCATAAATAACTCCTCCCCGTCGCACCCCGAGGCCATTCAAAAGGGCGGGCCCGGCGGTTCGCCAGACTCTTCCTTACCATCTACGATCCTGAAGCTTAAGGGTTGGCAGCAGCTTCACAGATGGAGGGCGGGCCGCTTCCAATATATGGCTTTCGCCTTAGCGCCGCGTGCACTCGTCTCAATCGTTTCCAAACGCCTAACGAATTAGGGACGGGTGGTTTTCAAAATGTGGCTCTCGCTTTAGCGCCGCGCACATTCGCACTACAAAGTTAGACAGAGCTTCACTGATAAAGTGCGGTTGCTTGTCAAAATGGTGCTCGCGCCAGTGCACCGCGCACATTGGTTTAACATATTTGCAAGCGGATTGAGGGCGGGTCCTTTTCAACATGTGGCTTCCGCCTTAGCGCCGCGCGTATTCGTTGAGCATGTGCAAAGAATTTCACAGGTTCCGATGGTCAACGTACCAAAACTTGTGTTTAAGAATGAATCAGGATTGTCCGGGCGCCAAAAGTATGCAGTTTTGCGCTGTTGAAGTCCCAGAATTGGTGTCCCGCGCAATGCAGGATCGTCAAGACACAACGGCCAAGTGCATTCGTGAAGTTGGAGCCCGGACAAATTGTGTTTTGGCACGCTTTAGGATTTTCAAACAGTTGTCTCCCAACGGGGCACTTCCCTCAGTGGAAATAGTTAGCTTGGAAGGAGGGTTGATTCCAACATCGTCGATGTGTCTTGGATTTGCACTTGTCCACCTCCCGCTCCTCCTCGGACGACCGATGTTCTGTACGAAAAAAAAGGCACGATGCCCAACAACAACTGTTGTCCCAAACCGACAGCGGCCGCTGCCGGGCAGGCGAGCTCGTGTCCCAAACGGACGAGGCCCGCGGCGACACGGAAAGCGAACCCCGTTCAGTCGGTCTCTGTGCCCATTTATGAGAAAACCCAAAGGTTCTGATACCGCTAATTACTCCCCAGACCTCTCGCGGGGTGTATTCTGACCAGACTTTCGGGGCGGATCCAGCGGTGGCGACGAGGGCCTCCGAAGAGGCCCAGGAAGGGATGACGAGGAAAGGGTAGAGGTGTGCGTGCCTTTTCCTCCTCCGCATTTGCTTTCCATACCCGAATTCGATCGTCCCGATCCTCCTTCCCTTTGGACGCCCGAAATGGGCACGGAACAAATGGGTACAATGCCCAACAACAAATGCTGTCCCAAACCAACAGCGGGCGCCGTTGGGCAGGCGGCCTCCTGTCTCAAATGGACACAGGCCGCGGCGGCGTGGACAGCGAATCCTGTTCAAAATGAACAGGAACTGCTGTTGGGCATCGTGCCCATTCTTTTGGTACGGCAGGTTCGTGTCGTGCCGACCCCAGCGTTGGTTCTTGACACCGCAGGGATCGTTCAACCTTGAACGATCGGCCGCTGCCGCAACGTCCGATCGTTCAACATCGATTGATTCTGGGCCCACGGCGGCGTTCAACCTTGAACGCCCGCGCTAGGGTCGCCGCCGGTCGACACGACGCGAACCTACCGTACCCATTTCGGGCGTCCGAACTCCCGTGGCCGCGGGGGCGTCCCCGGCCGCGTCGCACAG